GATTAACCAAACACCTGGTACACAAGATAAGGGTTAACTCACCAGTAGCTTAAGCAATAACAGGAGCAATATAAATGAACACTGTGAACACAGCAACTTGCATCCAAAAATACTTAGCGATGAAACAACACCTGGCGAGTAACAACACTTGATATGACGCAACAATGGCGGTTAGCTCCAGGACACAGGCCCCCACTTGTCGCGATCCCACTACTCTTTATACTTGGGGAGTGAAAGGCCTGTCGTAAGTCGGGGTCTAGCTGTGTGTATATATATATATATATATATATATATATATATATATATATATATATATATATATATATATATATATATATATATATAGATAGATAGATAGATAGATAGATAGATAGATAGATAGATAGATAGATATATATATATATATATATATATATATATATATATATATATATATATATATATATATATATATATATATATATACACAGTCAACCCTCACTTTACGCGGTACCAGTTTCCACGTTTACGCGGTGCCCTGCCAGAACCCAGGATGCTCACATTCCGCGGTGGGTGTACCCCTTTACACGGTGAAGTATAATTTTTTTTAATTTAGCTCATAAAATTCATACAAATTATCCGGCCAGAATATAATTTACATTGCTGGAATTCTTACAATTTGATGATCATTTTGAATATAAACATCATAGATTTTGCATTAGACATACAAATTTTAGATATAATGTTTACTCTTGAGTAAATATGTTATCTTTTGTGCAAAATATATGATATTTATATTCAAAATATTCCTGGTCTTACAAGGAATCCAGCAATGTCAATTATATTATCCTAACTTTAGTCTGATTTATTATTTATTACTAAAAAGGTAAACAGTCTGGTATTCCCACACATTTATCTAGTAGGGACGTTGGTGGGGGGTGGGAGGGAGGGACCGGCGACCGACCATCTGTTACCGTGTGAAGAATATTTTTTTTTTTTATTAACTGAAGATTTTTATTTTAGCTCATAAAATTCATACAAATTACCCAGCCAGAATATAATTTACATTGCTGGAATTCTTACAATTTGATGATCATTTTGAATATAAACATCATAGATTTTGCATTAGACATACAAATTTTAGATATAATGTTTACTCTTGAGTAAATATGTTATCTTTTGTGCAAAATATATGATATTTATATTCAAAATATTCCTGGTCTTACAAGGAATCCAGCAATGTCAATTATATTATCCTAACTTTAGTCTGATTTATTATTTATTACTAAAAAGGTAAACAGTCTGGTATTCCCACACATTTATCTAGTAGGGACGTTGGTGGGGGGTGGGGGGAGGGAGGGAGGGACCGGCGACCGACCATCTGTTACCGTGTGAAGAATATTTTTTTTTTATTAACTGAAGATTTTTATTTTAGCTCATAAAATTCATACAAATTACCCGGCCAGAATATAATTTACATTGCTGGAATTCTTACAATTTGATGATCATTTTGAATATAAACATCATATATTTTGCATTAGACATAAAATTTTTAGATAAAATGTTTAATCTGAGTAAGTATGTTATCTTTTGTGCAAAATATATGACGTTTATATTCAAAATATTCCTGGTCTTACAAGGAATCCAGCAATGTAAACATGTTGTAATTCGCACTAGACATAAAAATTTTACGTTTCTTTTAGTATGGTGTGTGCATGTAAATGGATGAAAATAAATGAAGAAATTTATGTAAATCTACCCAAAAATACAGTTGAAAAACTTTTTATAAAATGTACTACAGTATTGTACACTAATGTATTACATTTTTTATATCTTGAGCAAAATATATGATGCTTATATTCAAATTAATCTCTGTCTTGCAAGGATTTCAGCAATGCAAATTATATTATCCTAACTTTAGTCTGAGATATTATATAAAATAAACAAAGAAATCACCAATCTTTTATCTTGGAACACGAGGGTGGTGGGAAGACGGGGGGGGGGGGGTGGGAGGTGAGGTGACAAAATGTCTGGCATTTGTTTGTTTATTTTTTTGAGATAAGATTTGACAGTTGGCGCTGAAGGCCTGCCTGCCTGTTTATTTATCATTACTTAAGAGTGACTAAGCTCTTCTCATAATTTGCCACCCAAACGACCTGGGTGAATATAACTTACATTGGAGGGATTCTTGTAAGATAGTAATTTATTTGAATACCTGTATAAACAAGCTATATTTGCAATAGACATAACAATTTTAGTACCGTAATCATTTAGTACATGTACAATACAGGTTTGCACTTAGGTCCATTGTTACTGTACAACATTGACTAAATTCACTAGATAACATACGCCTGGCAGCACAATCTATAAGAATACGCCATGCATACATGACTGTGGCAGCTCTTCCACCAGTCACCCAACACTTCAATATCATTATCAGCGGTGTCATCATCAAATCCTAAAATGATGTTTGCCAAGGCATTAACAGGCTGGGCCTTGCACAGGTTGCGAGTAATAAGGGCCTGCTGACGAGCATTAATATGGGACACGTACAGTCGCCTTCAGGTGTAATGTTACCCCCTAACACGCCTTTCTTGCTTATGTGGCAATGTCGCACCCTCGTGTGGCTTGGGAAGTGAGTGATAGGGTTGTTTCCTATTGTTTTTGCCAGTACAGTATTTGTATATTAATAATAAAAAGGAAAATCATCAATGCATATAATACATATTTTGGATTCTGTGATATGATATATGTCACAAAAATGAAGCCTTTGAAGAAAGAAACAATGAAAGGAAAGGAAGAAGTGGCAGGGGTGTGAGAAGTAGGGGGAGAGGTTGTTCGACACTTCAAACGAGCTGACATAATTCCATCTCACTACCTTACTCGCATTCTCGCACCACACTCCGCTCAGCAACTTCGAAGATGAATTCTCAGCAGGAACAACTGGTGTTACAGGGAAAATTGTCGCGTTGAGAGAGGCTGGCCATACGATTGCAGGCATAGCAAGAGCTAGGAATATCGAAACCAACATTGGGGGAGGAAAGTGGAAACCTAAACCGACCTAACTCTGGGGGACTGAGAAAGACTACCCTAGTGGACCATCAAAGAATCATGGATGCAGCGACACAGTCTCTACTGATAAATGGAGTCACTATTAAGGAACGGCTTCAACTTGACATTTCTGCAGGAACTGTGAGAAGGCAGTTACACGAGGCCGGGATACACCATAGGACTCCGGCAATTACGGGAAAAGTTAGATCACCATCGTACTGCCAGACTCCAGTTTGCCCAGCAATACGAGGGTGAAGGCATAGACTTTTAGGGTAAGGTGATCTCAGATGAGAAGACATTTGCACCCACCACCCATGGTTCTCTCCACTGTTGGCGGCCCAACAACACGAGGTGTGAACTTCAGAACATCGAGGTGGCAAGAAAGGGACAGGTGACAGAGAATGTTTGGGGATGAATACACGTATACAGCATGGGTGAACTAGCTGAGATTGAAGGAAGATTTAACTCTGAAAAATATTTGGAGTTTTTGGAAGAAGTGATGATCCACCTCAGTTTGAGCCTACACTATCCCATATCCCAAGTGCATAATATTCATGCAGGTATGAATAACAATATCCTAAACCTCTAAATTTATGGTCTAATGTGAATATAATATGTACAGTGGAGTCTGGATTTACTAGGTTCTGGTTAACGAGTTTGGTCATTTACGTGGTGCCTTGCCAGAATCGAAATGCTTTAATTACACGGTAAATTTGGTCATTTACGCGGGTGAAGTATAATTTGTTTACTGTACTACTGAAGATATTTGTTTTAGCTCATAAAATTCATACAAATTACCCAGCCAGAATATAATTTACATTGCTGGAATTCTTATAAGATTGTGATTATTTTTAATATAAACATCATAAAATTTGCATTACATACAAATTTTAATCTAATTTAAGAATTTATTAGAAAGAGCAAAAATTTTATCTTTTGTGCAAAATATATGACGTTTATATTCAAAATATTCCTTGTCTTGCAAGGAATCCAGCAATGTCAATTATATTATCCTAACTTTAGTCTGAGTTATTATTTATTACTAAAAATGTAAGCCTACTGTTTTCACCCAAACATTTCTCTGGTAGGGAGGGAGGGACCCAGCGAGCGTGGGAAGAGGGGGGGGGGAGCGGGAGGTGGGGTATTTTGATTGACAGATAGTATCTGGGTGAAGTATAATTTGCTTATTTACTGAAGACATTTGTTTTAGCTCATAAAATTCATACAAATTACCCGGTCAGAATATAATTTACATTGCTGGAATTCTTATAAGATTGTGATTATTTTAAATATAAACATTACAGTATAAAATTTGCCTTAGACATACAATTTTAAGAATTTTGATTAGAAAGAGCAAAAATTTTATCTTTTGTGCTAAATATATGACGTTTATATTCAAAATATTCCTTGTCTTGCAAGGTATCCAGCAATGTCAATTATATTATCCTAACTTTAGTCTGAGGTATTATTTATTACTAAAAATGTAAACCTACTGTTTTCACCCAAACATTTCTCATAGAGGGAGGCGCCAGCGAGCGTGGGAAGGGGGGGGGGAGAGTTGAGTCCATTATTTGAATGGACATTAACCGGTGACTGTATTTCTCTTAAATATTAATTGTGTATGCATACCATCATAAAATTAAGATGTTATTTTTACCACAACGTAGGTATTCTGTCGGAAAAAGTGGAATTTGTGGGTCGGCCCAGTCTCTATTTCAATTAATCCCATATGTTCTGTTATTTCATTTACGCGTTTCTCGTTTTACGTGGGCCTCCTCGGGTTCAATTGCCCGCGTAAATGCAGACTTCGCTGTATTTGTATTTATAAATTCCTGGTCATGACTATTATGATTATTATAACTAGCAAACAAAACAAAGTAAGGATATAATTGATGTATTAAAACAATGCCCAGGTTATTGTTTTCCCAATTATATTTTAATATTGCAGGATAATTCTCCCTTCCACACAGCCAGAATCATCAGACGATGGTTTGATGAACAGCCAGACATAAAACTTCTGGAGAGGCCGAGCAAAGGGTGTGATCTCAACCCCATCGAGAACGTATGGAGAACCATCGTTAGCTCATGGGAGACGGACAGTGGCCGAACACCACAGCAACTCCTCCAACACACGAAGGATGAGTGGGAGCGTTTTCGCAGAAATCTTCAACAAATTCTGTATAATACTGTAGCCTCTCTCCGAAACAGACTGCAAGAAGTAATTGCTAAGAATGGTGGGTGGAGAAAGTACTAACGTTGGAACTGGCTATTCAACCACCCACCCCCCTCCAAGATTCATGTATGACACTACTTCCACCTCTGACCTGGTTCGTATTGCGACACTAAATAAAGCATAACAGATAAATATTTTTTCTTGAAATTACATTTATCAGTTTAAGACAAATTAATTTTGTTAGTGATATAAATGTTTGTTTTGTAATAAATATTGTATCCAACCATTATTTATTTTATCTTGCATTTAAATAGTTTAATATATTTAAATATTAACTATAAAACCTGAAATGTTTAATACAGTGGCCCCTAGGTTAACAAACACAATTCGTTCTAGAAGGTCGTTCGTTAACCGAAACCATTGTTTCAATGGGATTTTGGGTAATTGGTTCCAGCTCACCGAAAATTACATACAAAGTAAAAAAAAAAAATGCAGTAAAGTACACTTACTTTGAGGTGTTTATGTAGAAGGCTCCTGGTTGTTCATGATGATGATGATGGGAATTAGAAGTAGGGGTGGAGGAGAAGGGAAAAGAGAAGGAAGTGGGGGTGGAAGAGAAATCACCCCATGCTTGATGCCGTCATTTCACCCATAAAATTTTAAGTTCACTAGGTGTAATTCAAGATTATTTTCTTTAAATCAACACTGCACTGCACTATTTATTGTCAATATGTTAAATAAATTTCAGAATGACCAATAATTGTACTGTAAAAATATAAAAATACAGTAATACCCTGATTTACGCCGTTTCGCTTTACGCCATTCTACATTTACACAGTACCTCGCCAGAACCGGAATTTCATTTTACACGGTGCATCTACTCATATATGCGTGGGTGAAGTACAGTCAACCCTCACTTTACGCGGTTAATGTAACCCACAGGGTACCGCGGAAAGTGAGAAACGCGTAAAGTGAATAACATAACATTTGGGATTAAATGAAATAGAGACCAGCTGACCCCCAAACTCCACTTTTTCCAACACAATACCTATGTTCTAGTAAAAATAACAACTTAATTTTATGATGGTACATTAGGGGGCAGTGAAATTTTGCTCAAAGCTGCACTCTTCAGGCATTGTTCCTTATACATATCTAAGAATCCATGCCAAATTTGAAGCTGATATGTCGAGGTTTAGTCTGCCGCATTTTCAACTGAAATTTTTAAATTTACCTACAGTACTAGCCAAACAGCCGCTGTGGCGGTGCAATGTTCTGTTCAGTGTTTATCAACTTTTTTTTCATATCTCTTATTTCATTTAAGTTGTCTTGTTGCAGATGAGTATGGTGCTATGTCTATATTGATTATCAGCCTTTTCTTATTTCATTTCTCAATGTTGTGTTACTGTACTGTAATGTAGGGGAGACCTGGGTAAGTAGCTGCCATTGCTACTGCCACCTTAACTGACTATGGCATTATCACAAAGGATGACAAGAGTCAGGTTATTGGACCACATAAGCTGCGGGATGCGAGACAAAAATACCGATTTAAGAGGCAAGAAATTGAGATGGCTAGTTTAGATAATTTGACGTCACTCTATTTTGATGGTAAGAAGACCACCACTCGTGTGATGATAAAGAATGAGAAGACCGAGAAATGGAGTTCGAGGATGATGGTGAAAGATCATTATGTCATCATGGTTGAGCCTGGCAATGAATATCTCACACATGTGACTCCCAAGACTGGACACGGAAAGCAGATTGCCAAAACTATTCGCGAGTTTCTGGTGGAGAAAAATCTAACCCAGCAGCCCATTGTGTGTGTTGGTTGTGATGGAACCAATGTAAATGTAGGATCAGAAAATGGAGTCATTCATCATCTTGAAATGTTACTTGGTCACCCGCTCCATTATTTCATATGTCAACTTCACGGAAATGAGCTGCCTTTCCGCGCAGTTTTTTATCACTATGATGGTAAACCAAGTGGTCCTGAGCATTGGCATGGTCCCATTGAAAAGCAGATCAAGGAGTCTTTGTCTGAGCTTCCAGTTGTCGCCTTCCAGCCAGTCAGTTTCCCTGATTTCCCTGTGTTTAATGATGAAGTGGAGAAAGATCTGTCCCGGGATCAGAAATACCTGTATAGGATTTGTAAAGGAGTTATCACAGGTGTTGTTGAAGATGACTTGGCTGCTATTGAGCCAGGTCCTCCCTGTGTGTCAAGGTGGAACACCTTATGGAGTAGAATCCTCAGGCTGTATGTAGCAACATCAAGACCCAGCCATGAGTTGAAAAGAATTGTCATTACAATAATAAAGTTCAGTGCTCCAATGTGGTTTTACATCAAGATACACCCTTACGTAACACACGGCTCAAGGAATGTATTCCAGTCCCTGCTATATATGAAACACCTGAATAGTGAGGAGGAGACGATAGTGAAGAAGGCTGTCCAGAGAAATGCATACTTCGCCCACACAGATCAACTTCTTCTTGGTATGTGTGCAGATGAGGACATGACTGTTAGAGAAAAAGCTGTCTCAATGATAAGAAAAATTAGAGAGGAGAATCAGCAAAAGGAAGAATGCACTGGCAGATCTGAAGAGGAGGAAGATTCTGATGCTGCTGTTGACGAGAATTTGTTAAACTATACTGATGAGGAGGGTAAAGATGGAGATGGGAATGAGGATGTGCCTCCTGTAGCCAACATGAGAAAGGTGGTGACTCCGAAACTAAAGTGGCAAGCAAAAAACTATCATTCCATGATTAACTGGAGGAATGAACTCAAGACTGAGCCTCCTTACATTGCTTCTCTGTCAAATCTACAGGTTAATGACATTCTTGAGACACCATTAGTGGTGCCCAAGTGGCCAAACAGCACTCAGGCGGTCGAGAGAGGCATAAAAGTGATGACTGAAGCTTGCACTGAAGTGACGGGATACGAATCGAGAGATGGATATACAGTATTAGGCAAAGATTATTGTCTAGGAAAATGATGCCAAGGTTCCGCACAAAAAAGAATTTCAATATGAACTTTTAATGATTTTCTATACGGTGTACCTGTAAAATAACATGTGAATTAAATCGATGTCACCCATGTAAAATTTATCATTATCCTGGAAACATTAAATGACACCTAATTTTTGGTATACACTAAAAGTTGACAAAAAGTCGTTCGCGATGCGGCAGGGTAAGTATGCATGAAATTTTGCACAGGTGTTTGTTACAGCCATACAAACGATGCCTGAAAAGTGCAGCCTGCAACTCAAATAAAAGTGTTTTTTCCCTGCCTCCTATGGTACATGCACACAATTAATACTTAAGAGAAATAGAGAAATACAGTCGCCAAGTTAATGTCCATTCAAATAATAGACTCAACTCCCTCCCCCTCTTCTCACACTACACTCCTGGCTCTTCCCTCTGAGAAATTTTGGGGGGAAAACCAGGTATAGTAATAAATAATACCTCAAACTAAAGTTAGGATAATATAATTGACATTGCTGGATTCCTTGTATGACCAGGAATATTTTGAATACAAATGTCATATATTTTGCACGAACGATAACATATTTACTCAGAGTAAACATTATATCTAAAATTTGTATGTCTAATGCAAAATCTATGATGTTTATATTCAAAATGATCATCAAATTGTAAGAATTCCAGCAATGTAAATTATATTCTGGCCTGGTAATTTGTATGAATTTTATGAGCTAAAACAAATATCTTCGGTTACTAAAAAAAAATATATATTCTTCACAATTCATGGTGGCTCGTCGCCGGTCCTCCTCCTGGCACCCCCACCAATCAACCCTCCCTTACCAGACTGGGAATACCAGACTGTTTATCTTTTTAGTAATAAATAATACCTCAAACTAAAGTTAGGATAATATAATTGACATTGCTGGATTCCTTGTATGACCAGGAATATTTTGAATACAAATGTCATATATTTTGCACGAACGATAACATATTTACTCAGAGTAAACATTATATCTAAAATTTGTATGTCTAATGCAAAATCTATGATGTTTATATTCAAAATGATCATCAAATTGTAAGAATTCCAGCAATGTAAATTATATTCTGGCCTGGTAATTTGTATGAATTTTATGAGCTAAATAAAAAAATTATACTTCACCCGTGTAAAGGGGTACACCCACCGCGGAATGTGAGCATCCTGGGTTCTGGCAGGTGTAAACGTGGAAACGCGGAATGTGGGACCGCGTAAAGTGAGGGTTGATTGTATAATATTTTTATTTAGCTCATAAAATTCAAACAAATTACCCGGCCAGAATATAATTTACATTGCTGGAATTCTTACAATATGGTGATCATTTTGAATATAAACATCATGGATTTTGCATTAGACATACAAATTTTAGATCTAATGTAATAATTTGTTTTACACAAAGCAAATATTTTATCTTGTGCAAAATATATGAAGTTTACATTCAAAATATTCCTTGACCTGCAATGAATCCAGAAATGTAAATTATATTATCCTAACTTTAGTCTGAGGTATTATTTATTACTATACTTTAAAATCTAGTGTTTTCACCAAACATTTCTGAGAGAGATAGAAGCCAGTGAGCTGGGAAGAGGGGGGGGGGGATGTTGAGTTCATTATTTGAATGGACATTAACCTGGCGACTGTATTTCTCTTAAATATTAATTGTGTATGTATACCATCATAAAATTAAGATGTTATTTTGACTACAACATTGGTATTGTGTCGGAAAAAGTGGAGTTTGGGGGTCGGGCCAGTCTCTATTGGAATTAATCCCATATGTTGTGTTATTCCATTTACGCGGTTTTCGTTTTACGCGGTACCCCGTGGGTTCAATTGACCGTGTAAATCGGGGTATCACTGTACTCTGTGTTCAAGAGACCCACAAGCAAGATGTTTCCTCCACTGAACAGAGATACAAACTGAGGCCTTGGTGGGTGAGTGAAGTGGCTGATGGGCGCACCAAAAACTAGTTCCCTGTACTGCAATTATGTTGAATAAGTGTTAAAATTACAAAAAAAAAATTAATATAAAACTTGGACAATTATTGATATTTACTCCAATTTTAACGAATGTAAGCCCTAGAACCGATTTCTGTATTGGCGGACTAATCTTCCAACTGGTGAGCAAGCCAAAGCAAGTCGAAGCATTTTCGTAAGAATTTCATTAACCGAAATGAAGGTTCTTATGGAAGGTAATTCGTTAACCGAGGGACCACTGTACATATATGAAATGGGTAAATTAAAAAAGAAATCGACAAGATATTAGATAACAATACGAGTTACAAGACTGTTATTAAAGCAAATCATAATAACACTTGCAACAAATAGTAACCACAATCTCAAGAAAATAAGACCTGTGCATAACATAAATATCCTACAACGAACCTCCTGCAATATTAGTTTTCATAAACTATCATACAATATCAATGATATGTTGCTATACCATATATTTGTCTTACTTACTCACAAACTGTATAGAGGGGAGAGTTTATTACCAAGCAAGAACATGGCTAAGCCAATTATAATAAATTATAATAATTTCCTGAAGCATGATAAGTGATAGCCTATTGTAGCAGCATGTGTATCAATGCTGGTATCTAAATATCTTTATCTGACTGACCTTTTCCAAAAACATTACTTGCCACCTTCTGTTAACTTATTTTTCTCTTTTTTTTCACACTTCCTATCGCCTTTTTATTTTTTATCGTCCTTCCCCTCCCTCTCTCCTCCTACTTGCCCCACCCCCACCACCTGTTCCTTTCCTTTCGTTGTGTCTTTCTCAAAGGCTTCGTTTTTGTGACATCATATATCTTATCACAGAATCCAAAATATGTATTATTTGCATTGAGGATTGTTCTTTTTATTATTAATAAACAAATACTGTACTGGCAAAAACAATTAATAGGAAACAACCCTATCACTCAGTTCCCTAACCACACAAGTGACATTGCCACATAGCAAGGAAGGCTTGGTAGGGGGGGTAACATTACACCTGAAGGCAACTACTGTATACATGGCCTTATATTCCTTTACAATCTTATCAATGACAAGGCAGATATGGTTCTGAGTATGAGGCCTGGTATCGTAATCACCAAGCTGTTCACTGAAACGTTTTTAATGGTTGTGAGCATCTCGGTCAACTGCCGTGTTGTAGATTCACCAGGCTTAACATCCTCCTCTTGTGTTGCTTGATGTTCTTCATCCTCCCCAACATTTCTTCAATTGTCAGTTGCTGCTGATGTTCACCAATTTTTTCTTGCAAATCTTCAACCTGAACATCCGAAAATCCCAGTGCTGGGACTGACCGCACTGCCTCCAGTGTCCATTAGTGTTGCCGCCACTTATCTCGGAGTTAGCGAACAAAGGCTTCCATGCGTGTAACAGTTGCAACATTAATCTTACGCCAAGCCTCAACAATTCTGTCCATTGCATTTGTAATATTATATTTCTTCCAAAATTCACAACTGATAACACTTCACAGTTGCGGGGTGGTAAGGTTGCAAGGAGTCAGGTCATCTACCATCTCCTCCTCCTGGTTAGCTGGTAGAGCTTGGTCACTGTCAGAGTTTTCTTCCTCGATTTGTTGTAACTCAACTAATGATTCTGTCTGCAGACGAAAGTCTATAGTGACTGATAGTAGATCAGTTTAACATTACTGATGAAATCGTGGTCAAGTGGCTGCAGAATCGATGTGGTTTCATTATGCTCCTCCCCCATTGTCAATACACAAGAATCGTTAATAGTTAAACAAGAATCTCGCAAAACATAAGCACAATGGGTTATATAATCGAAGGTCACTGCACTGCTCGCTCATTCAAACTAATTGCTGTAAACAAAAAAACACACAAAGAACCATGACAATGCGCGCTGCCCACTCGCCACTGATTCGCGAAACTAGTAATGAAAATTGCTATTCTTGAGAGGCTGGAAATTTTAAGAGACGCAAATCTAACTCACTAAACTTGAGATCCTACTGTACATACCTATGTAGGAGTTAGAGGGTTTAAATAAATTTGTTTCTAATTTTATTTATTTTTGTTCCCTAATTTATGGTACACTATAATATTAAAGATAGGGTATATATTAAAGAAGGTTTTTCTGGAAATTCTACATTCGTGGGTGTCCCAGGAACCTATCCCTCATGAATGTTGAGGTAGTAGTGTAATAAATAGTAATGATCCAAGTACTGAGCCTTGGGGTACTCCACTAGTGACGTTACTCCAATCGGATTTAGTGCCATTAATGCCGACTCTCTTTCCTGTCCTGTAACCACAACCTAATCCCGTTTAGAACATCTCCAATTCCAGGGTGTTTCACTTCATGTATTAAGGCTTTCGTGGGGAACCCTGCTGAAGGCTTAGCTAAAGTCGAGGTAAACCAGATCATAATCGTGTCCGTCATCCACTTGCAATGTAAGGGTTACATTACAGTAAATTATTGTAATGATGCACACTTGGAGCACAGAATCCCCATTTTTTTTACTTCCCTCCCGAATTTATCCGAGCAAGTCGAAGATCGCAAAACTAAAAATTGACGATTGTTAAACATAAAAGGGTGCTAACAATTTTAAATGACGAAACCAAAATATCGCTTGGTAAATGATCGTTAAATGAGAGATACCTGTAATGATTAGTGGCATGCGTGAAGTTGTCATGGTAAGAATTAGAAAATGGTCATATACTGTGTAAGAATGTTGTTGGCAACTCCGTAACATGTCCCGAGTGCAGAAGGTGGGTAAGCAAAAGGTGCAGTGGTGTAAAAAGCAGACTGCAATTAGGTGCAGGAAACCTGGTTGCCTTAAGCTGTGGTTACACCAGTTTCTACCCAGAATAAATCTACCATTTGCATTAATTTTTCCAACAAACTCAAGATGTCTCTACCTTGACAACTTAATTGTTGTCAAAAGTGGGACAATATGGAGTGTCTTAAAATCCACGGTACGGTGGGTTGAAATTTGCCATAGAGAGTCTATTGTATTAATAAAATTTAAAGATATTTTTTCTTGTTAAAGTTACTGTAAAAAAATATACAAAGTTTTTTCAATAACAAAATACGAGCAAAAATGTCATGGTAAATAAAAAATAATAATACATCTCAACAGGAATTTCATTCTACTCTAAGAGTACTTGCGTCACTTTTGTAAACAAACATCACTTGGACGCTACAAACGTTTCTTTATCGTCTTGGTCTTCTTTAACAGGACCACACATCTCACTAAAGCAGTTAATGCTGCCATAGAAACATACAATGAAGCCATCCTGCACTCCAACTGAGCTCACACTAGCTGCATGCCTGGCCATTGGTTCCTTTTTTTTCCAGTGTGCAGATCATACCGTTTACTTATTGCCTGAGTTTGACTGTAGCTTTAGCAAAGCTAGAGAAATTCAACATTGGTGGATGTATCCCTTGACATTGTCATTGAGTTCTGTTTTCTAGGTAACACAATCCGTGCTGGAGAATTGGGACTGAAGCTAGCTCAGTTTCATGAGTGTGAAGTGACAAAGAAGTTTAGGGAACTGCTGACTTTATTGATGGCAATAGGACCTTCTCTATGTATATGGAAAAAAAATTGGGGGTAGTTAGAGAGGATTACATGGGTAGGCTTGAGCAAGCGGAGAGGATAAAAATGAGATGTACAGTCCTCTTCACTAGTACATTTACAGGGGCTCATCAGGTTTTGTGCAGTGTGGCAGCACTGTGTTTGTTTACATTCAACAGAAGGAAACTCACAATAGTAAATATATTTTGGAATCAAAGTAAAACAATATTAAAACAAATACCTCAATGTTCAGACTTGTGGAATGTTTATATGACGAGCCCCTGTACATGTAATGTGACGCCGACAGTTAGGAAGCCCTGTTCTATGCCTTTCAGTCACTGATCAAAAAAGACAAAACCAGTTTGTATCTCAAATATGAGTCACATATGTAGAGAGCATGACTAGGGAGAGATTGGTTTGAAAGGTATGTGATAGTACAGTTAATAGTAGGAGTCCTAGAGCCATCACTTTATATAAGACCTGAAAAGTGATATTGAATTGTGAAAAGGAGTCATTTCTTATGAGACCATGATTATAAACAAGCCTGATTTTATATGCTTATCATGTACAATTAATAACATGAAGGAGTGTGAAATACAGTAGAAAATTAGTTATATACAGTATTTTACATATGCAAGTTAAACAAGTTTGATGTTATAATTCCAATTCCATTAGCTGTCTTAGTCCTTCTGTGTAATTTTTCCATTGTTTTACACCACTCTCCCAGTTATTTCCCCCTTTCATTTAGTCCACACTACATAAACGTGGGATCGAAAAATAATAAATCCTACCCTTCATCAAGAAAATCTGTAGCCTGTCAAATTAGGCTTTGAGGATTGGCCAAGTGTTATCCACCAGTGTCAGGAAAATAAAAGACAAGAATGAAAGTCTTCCTTCTCACTATTCTTCACTTTTTACCTGTTGAGGTTCAATGGGTGACTGAATGCAGAGTTGATATATTTCCTAAAAACCTTTACCTTTTCAGCTTTAAAATTACCAAAAAAAAGGGTCAAATTTAAAAGCCAAAATATAAACTGAACATAAAACATGTATTTCATGATTCTGGTGTAACAACTATGGGCTGTACAGTGAAAAGTAAACAAGTGTTGTCAGCTTAAAGTGACCTGCTGCTCCTACTCCTGCCTCACACAACTTATAAACACTCTTCATATACTCTTTTGGTAGCACTTGCCATAACTATTTTTTTTAAAGATAAAAAAGGAAGAGAGATAAAGAGAAGTCTGTTCTGGTAAAAAGTTAATTGACTTAATAATCAATCCCATCACAAGACCCTTAAATCCTGTGCTTAAATTTACATTGTTTGTTTATTAACAAAACTGAATACAATATGCAATACCTTACAGAGTACAAACTGTCATAAGTATAGACACCTGCACAATGCATGAAATGCATAAACAACCATCAATATATGCACATGTACACTTACTTCACATTAAAAACTTTAAAACAAATTAATGTATAAGATTGTTTTACAATGATTTTATGGCAGAACTGACATTAACTCTTACAGAACAGACTTAACTACTGCTGACAGACACTTACCTTGGCATAGAATGATCAAGTGCTATCAATATTGATCCTCAGAGCTAATACAGTGGCCAGCTATATAAGCACCACTTTGAGTTATGGTAGAAAAGGCAGAGCTATGGCAAGGATAACTCGTTTGAGGATATACAATAGTTTAAGTTATTAATGAAGCATTGGCATCACTGAGGACAAACACTATTTATGGTTCAGCAAAGCATAGGACCTACCTATTCCTAAAAATTAGGTAATTTAATTGTGTCAAGCACTGTAATCCTAAGGTTATGTCATTCGAGCAGAGTTTAAAAAATATACCTTGGAGTTGCTGCTATTTGACTGAGCCATGATGCAGAGTTAGGAATCAAGGCTAGCCACTGGGATATGTAAATCCATTTTGAGCATGAAAAGCTGTACTCTAATTGGTTGAAAACTTTCAATCAAATATAATTTTAAAATGCCTATGATTTAGGTCATACAGTACTTAAATAAAAGGCTTTTAATTACTTTGAGTAATATGGTAAAGATAAAATATTCATCAACAAGTCAAATTACAGCTGACATGAGTTAACATTGTAAGATATATAGACAAGAGATTTGACCTGGTTCATGCAAATACCCATTGTACAACTTGTACTTCACAGGAGACATTTTGTTCATTTGAGAATTAGGAAGATATTGAGTAAAAAATGTTTAAAGTCCGTATAAAAAATATTACAAATTTTCATAAATACTTTGTTGTTTGATATAGACCATTTTTCTCTCCCTTTCAATCTCTCTCATCATTCATCCAATCACTTATTACTCACAATATACATAATTCTCACAAAGGCATTCATTTAGAGTTAGTTCTGCAATAATAAAAAGAACTCAGTTTTCTGGTATACTACCCTATAAAAGATAACAATAAAAAAAGTACCTTAAGTAACACGAGGATCTATGTGTCTTTATGTACACTGAATACAGCTGTCATCTAAATTCCAAATTTTAATAATAAAATCACCGAGCAAGGCATATCATTTACCATTACACTTAAGCTGCAGCGGTTGACAACAGGAACATCAACACAATTTCCTCCCTGTGCTATACACAAAGGTATAACCTCCTGTAGTCCACATAAATCTCTTCCTATTAAAGCTCTGATTCACAGTAAACAAGCTAAGCCTTCTTAACAAATTTGTCAACCCACTAGGCTATAATAACCCCCCCCCCTCAAAAAAAAAAAAATAAATAAATAAATAAATACAAAATTAATATTAGTAAATAAAAATATCAAGGCACTCCATCTCGCCTGATCAGTCTTCCGCTGAGGAACAGCACTCTTAGAGTTCAAATCATTTAAAATGAAAAATATGAACATTGCATTCATATGCTACTATTAAAAAAATTACAATAATGATGAAATTCTCTGAAAATAAAAAATGAACTCTATTGTTGTCCAAGCATCACCTTAAAGGCTAAATTGTCACTGACCAATTCTTACACAAGACTACTGAGATCTATCCTTCGTTTACATTAACTAATGCTGAGCACTATAAATCACAGATGACTGGGGTTGACACATTATACCCACATCTTGTTACGTAGGCTCAGGCTTCGTTTCTTCTGAAAGATGAAAAGGTTAATAATAAATTAAGAGTAATACATACATCAAGTTTAAGAATTGCCAAGTTAAATATAAAACAGAAGAAAATGGAAAAGTTTAAGTTATTTAATACAGTAAGATAATGAAGTAGATCAAGTAGAGAACGAGTCAAGTGGAATTTAGGCACTTTATAGTGACAAAACAAAAGAAAGCATTAGCTGAGGATAATTTGATAAACATTATGCAAGTTTCAAGAATTGACAGTATGGAATGAGGATGTTAAGAATGTGTGGAGTAAAAGTCTCCGGAGAGTCATATGGAGGTAAAAGTCTCAGAAGAGTCATATGGAGGTAAAAGTCTCAGAAGAGTCATATGGAGGTAAGTGCACTAAAATTGTTAGAGCTTATGAAGTGCATGGCAGGGGAGACAATGTTTTGGACTTTATCTACACTAGTCATGACTCATGAGTGGTGCAATTTTGTTAAACTAGTCATCAGTGGTGAGGCATTATTCGGATAGAGTATTTCACCCACTAATTAGAGGGTAATTTGTCAAATAAAGGCTTTTCAGTGGAATGGACAGTCAAGTGCAAAAAGAGTATAAAACAATAACATCAGGATGATCAGCTTCATCTGTAGTGGTAATTATATGGAAGAAACTGACAATTCTGTTCAAAGCTTACCAACCAGAACTGGCATTAACATATTTAAATAAAATGTACTGTACAGTATATGGTATTTGGTAACCTGACTTTGTCAGTGTACAGTGAACCCTCGCTTTACGCGGTTTCACTTTACGCGTTTCTACATTTACGCGGTACCCTGCCAGAACCGTAATTCCCACTTTACGCGGTGCATCTACTCATATACGCGGGTGAAGTATAATTTTTTTATTTAGCTCATAAAATTCATACAAATTATTCGGCCAGAATATAATTTACATTGCTGGAATTCTTACAATTTGATGATCATTTTGAGTATAAGCATCATGGATTTTGCATTAGACATACAAATTTTAGATCTAATGCAAGTATTTTGTTTACTCAGAGCAAATATATTATCTTTTGTGCAAAATATATGAAGTGTTTATTCAAAATATTCCTGGTCTTGCAAGGAATCCAGCAATGTCAATTATATTATCCTAACTTTAGTCTGAGGTATTATTTATTACTAAAAATGCAAATATACTGTTATAATCCAATCATTTCTCTGGTAGGGAGGGAAGGTGAGGGGTAGGGAGGGAGTGAGGGACCCAGGGAGCAGGTGGGAAGAGGGATATTTTGATTGACAGATAGTATTTCGGTAAGTTTATTTTGTTTATTTATTGAAGATATTTGTTTTAGCTCATAAAATTCATACAAATTACCAGGCCAGAATATAATTTACATTGCTGGAATTCTTACAATTTGATGATCATTTTGAATATAAACATCATAGATTTTGCATTAGACATACAAATTTTAGATCTAATGTAAGTATTTTGTTTACTCTGAGTAAATATGTTATCTTTTGTGCAAAATATATGACATTTATATTCAAAATATTCCTGGTCTTACAAGGAATCCAGCAATGTCAATTATATTATCCTAACTTTAGTCTGAGGTATTATTTATTACTAAAAAGGTAAATATTCTGGTTTCTCCCAAACATTTCTCTGGTAGGGAGGAACCGACCGACCATCTGGCGCGGTTGGAAGAGGGGGGGAGGCAAGGTGGGGTACTTTGATTGACAGATAGTGTCGTGAAGAATACTTTTTTTTTTTTTATTAACTGAAGATATTTGTTTTAGCTCATAAAATTCACACAAATTATCCGGCCAGAATATAATTTACATTGCTGGAATTCTTACAATTTGCTGATCATTTTGAATATAAACATCATAGATTTTGCATTAGACATACAAATTTTAGATGTAAAGTTTATTCTGAGTAAATATGTTATCTTTTGTGAAAAATATATGACATTTATATTCAAAATATTCCTGGTCTTACAAGGAATCCAGCAATGTCAATTATATTATCCTAACTTTAGTTTGAGGAATTATTTATTACTATACCTGGTTTTCCCCCAAAAATTTCTCAGAGGGAAGAGCCAGTGAGTGTAGTGTGAGAAGAGGGGGAGGGAGTTGAGTCCATTATTTGAATGGACATTAACTTGGCGACTGTATTTCTCTATTTCTCTTAAGTATTAATTGTGTGCATGTACCATCATAAAATTAAGATGTTATTTTTACTACAACATAGTTATTTGTCGTCAAAAAGTGGAGTTTGGGGGTCGGGCTGGGTTCTATTGGAATTAATCCCATATGTTCTGTTATTCACTTAACGCGGTTTTCACTTAATGCGGGACCCTCTGGGTTCAATTGACCGCGTTAAGTGGGGTACCACTGTATGTGGAAAATCCGCAGCAGGTGAAAGTTCATTTCCGGCGAGGCATCAAGATGGCGATAAAACGCTGGCGAAAACCGCTAAGAAGGGGTAACGCACGATAAGACGCACGCGCACGCACGCGACAAGACGACGCGACGACGCACGCACGCACGCGACGCACGCACACACACACACACACACACACACACACACACACACACACACACACACACACACACACACACACACACACACACACACACACACACACACACACACACACACACACACACACACACAGTATTACCCCACCTAACGCTGGTTTCACTTTAACGCGCTTTTATCATATACGCCGTGAGTGTCCGCCTGAGACGCTATTTTTAGATTTGCCCTACCCGGGCCAATTTTCAGCCTGATCATTTTGAATATAAACATCATATATTTTGCATTAGACATACAAATTTTAGATAACATTTTTTCTCTGGGTAACTATGTTATCTTTTGTGCAAAATATGACATTTATATTCAAAATATTCCTGGTCTTACAAGGAATCCAGCAATGTCAATTATATTATCCTAACTTTAGTTTGAGGTATTATTTATTACAAAAAAGTTAAGTATTCTGGTTTTCCCACACATCTCCTTGGGACGGTTGGTGGAGGGTGGGGGGGAGGGAGGGACCGACCGACCATCTGTTACCCTGTGAAGAATATTTATTTTTTTATTAACTGAAGATATTTGTTTTAGCTCATAAAATTCATACAAATTACCCGGTCAGAATATAATTTACATTGCTGGAATTCTTATAATTTGATGATCATTTTGAATATAAACATCATATATTTTGCATTAGACATAAAATTTTTAGATAAAATGTTTAATCTGAGTAAGTATGTTATCTTTTGTGCAAAATATATGACGTTTATATTCAAAATATTCCTGGTCTTACAAGGAATCCAGCAATGTCAATTATATTATCCTAACTTTAATCTGAGGTATTATTTAATACAAAATTTTAAAATTTATTTTTTTCACCCACTCTTTCTCTTGGTGGGGGGTGGGGGGGAGGGTTGGGACTGACCGCGCGGTTGGAAGATAGGGGGGAGTCAAGGTGGGGTACTTTGATTGACAGATAGTGTCGTGAAGATTATTTTTTTTTTATTTACTGAAGATATTTGTTTTAGCTCATAAAATTCATACAAATTACCCGGCCAGAATATAATTTACATTGCTGGAATTCTTATAATTTGGTGATAATTTTGAATATAAACATCATATATTTTGCATTAGACATACAAATTTTAGATAAAAAATTTTTCTGAGTAACTATGTTATCTTTTGTGCAAAATATATGACATTTATATTCAAAATATTCCTGGTCTTACAAGGAATCCAGCAATGTCAATTGTATTATCCTAACTTTAGTTTGAGGTATTATTTATTATAATTTAGTGGTTTTCCCCCAAAAATTTCTCAAGAGAGGGAAGAGCCAGCAGTGTAGTGTGAGAGGGGGAGGGAGTTGAGTCCATTATTTGAATGGACATTAACTTGGCGACTGTATTTCTCTATTTCTCTTAAGTATTAATTGTGTGCATGTACCATCATAAAATTAAGATGTTATTTTTACTAAAACATAGTTATGTGTCTTCAAAAAGTGGAGTTTGGGGGTCGGGCCGGTTTCTATTGGAATTAATCCCATATGTTCTGTTGTTCACTTAATGCGGGACCCTCTGGGTTCTATTGACCGCGTTAAGTGGGGTACAACTGTGTATGTATATATGTGTATATATATGTATATATATATATATATATATATATATATATATATATATATATATATATATATATATATATATATATATATATATATATATATATATATATATACACACACACACACACACACATACACAGCTAGACCCCGACTTACGACTGCTACGACTTATGACCATCGGGACTTACGACCGCCACAGATTTTTTATTAATTTTTTTTTTTCAAATGACACACGCATTTTCTATACTGAAACGTTTCCAGTTAATGTAGTCTCCATGTATAATTAGAAAATTATGGGGGCCCCATGTGCATTCAGCTGACTACATTAAGGGTAAGTGCTCAGTCACACTGTATCCATTCCTTATTATTTATTACTTTCACTGTACTGTATCCATTCCTCATTATTCATAACTTTTACTGTACTGTATTTCATTGTAGATTATTTATTAAAAAAAAAAATTTTTTTTTTTTTTTTTTTTATCTATATCGGACTTACGACCTGGATTTGGGTCCCTAACCCCGTCGTAAGTCAGGGTCTATCTGTATATATATACACAATAGAACTCATAAATCACAACTGTAATGTGATACAGGTGATTGATTTTTATCTCTTGTGCAAAATACATGATGTCTATACAGGTAGTCCCTGACTTACGACCGAATCGACTTACGTCCACCCGCACTTAGAACCACCTCAGTTGTACCAAAATGTGGTCAAATTATGTATTTTTGAGTCCCAAAGTCAGTACACAGATAAACTTTTCATCTGTAATTCACTTTAAAATGGCTGGCAAGCTTAAAAGTGAGTGTTTTGTGGTGCTGAAAAGAAAGAGACCCAAATGTTTTATTTTCTATGTGTTATGTAAGCATTTCCGACTTACGACCATTTCGACTTACGACCTGGATGTCGGTCCCTAACCCCGTTGCAAGTCGGGGAGTACCTGTATTCAAATTATTCGCTGTCTTGCAAGGATTCTAGCAATGCAAATTATATTCTCCTAACTTGGGTTGGAACACATCTCAGCTTTTAGGATAGATTACTATGGGGAAATGGGTCCCGTTGAACTTGAATACACCCAATGAACACTTTTTTTAGAACAAATATATCTTGTTAAGAAGTGACTTACTGTGTATAAGATTAAACATTCTGTATTAGTTAACACTGACCATTGTAGTATGAAATTAATCTTTCCCAATTAAATGTCAAGAAAGTCTATTGCTATCAGATTTATGTTCCACCAAGTCTGTACAGCAATATAATGTATATGTTTTCTTATTTGTTCTAATAAATTAATAAATGAAGATGATATGAGGGCCAAGGATTATAATTGGTACTGTACACATAAATTTGTTGTGAGAGCTGCAATTGCTTAATTTTTTAAAATCCCATTTCCTGTGAGCCACCTGATTATTCAGTCAGTATCTATACCAGAGTCAACCTTTTCTTTTAGTTTAAATGGTTCCTTGTGTGGCTGTAAAAGTATAATTTTTTTTTAGCAAAATGTCACTAAGGTTGTAATAAGGTGTACACTGTACAGTAATGATCATAGTCATTTACAATCCTGAAAACCATAAAACTGGTAAGTAAACAGGAGGTATTCCTGACAGAAAAAATAGTCCTTATAAACTACCTTGCACAAGAATTCATTTTCGATGGGTTGTCGGATCAATCTTAGGAATTGATAATTATTGATGTCTTACTTTCACGTTCTTTCCGGCGAAGTTTTTTCCGTCTGCGTTCAACTGAGGCAAGCTCAGTTTTAACTTGCATGTAGGTTCGCTTCAGTTCTTGAATTCTGGACTGCAAAACTGCTATCCTCTTAGAAGCATCTAAATCAGGATCTGAAATTTAAAAAAATAATTTGAAAGTGTTTAAGACTTTTCATGTTATAAATGCATGCATACACACTCACACACATTTCTTCTTTCTGTTATTCTTAGTACATTGATCCCTCGGTTAACGAGCACCTCGGTTAACGAATTACCTTCCATAAGATTCTTACTTCGGTTAACGAGCAATCCCTCGATTAACGAGTTTTTAACGCGTGCCCCTCCACATGTTTTCGCTTGCATTTGGCGGTCCACCAGCTGTAGTATTAGTCCGCCAATACAGTAATTAGTTCTAGGGCTCAAATTCCTTACTATTTTAGTAAATATCAAGAAGTTTGTACTATTCAATAATTTTAAAAGTTTTATATTAATATTTTTAGTCATTTTAACAATTATTGAACATAATTGAAGTATAGGAAAATAGTTTTTTGCGCGCCAAACAGCCTGTCAACACACCATACAGGTGTCAGTCTCTGTGTCTTTTCAGTGGAGGTAACATCTTGCTTGAGACTCTCTTCAACTAAACGCTTTTTTGTGTGTTTCCAAGCAAATTATTGGTCAATTTGAAATTTATTTTACATATTGACAATATATAATGCAGTGCAGTGTTGATTTAAAGAAAATAATCTTGAATTACACCAAGAGAACTAAAATTTTATGGGTGAAATGGCGCCATGGGGTGCCTTCTCTTCCACCCCAATGCCTTCTCTTCTCCCTTCTCCTCCACCCCCATTCTAATTCCCATCATCTTCATCCAGGAGCCTTCTACATACACACCTCAAAGTAAGTGTACTTTACTACCTTTTTTGTTGATTTTAGGCAATTTTTGGTGAGCTGGAACCAATTACCCAAAAACCCATTGAAACAATGGTTTCGGTTAATGAGTTTTTCGGTTAACGAGCAACCTTCTGGAACAAATTGTGCTCGTTAACCGAGGGACCACTGTACTGAGATAGAGGTGCTGTAATCTTAGTATCTTTCCACAAGGCCCCAAGTAGGATATTCATCTTCTTTACTTCACCTGCTTCATATACTCCAACCTCCACCCATCAGCAGCATGTCCTTCCCCCAAAATCACTTGACACTTTGCTCTTCACTGAATGACACACACTACTGCTTCCTGGCATACCATATCTTACGGCATATAAGATGCACTCACAATTCAGCAGGGAATATTTAAGTAAAAACTTTAAGTGCACTATTCTCCTGCAGCCAGAGCTTTCTTTAAATGAAATTCAAAGTGTTAGTACTCACTCATCTGTTATTGTTATGGTCATTATTATTTGTACCAAGATGTCCACAGTGAACACTCCAAGAACACGAAATGGCAACTGAATACAAGTTTTTGCTGCACGCCAATAGATGATGTTACGCGCGAGTGAGGCACTATGAATGTGGGGTGATGGCTGTCAGCGTTATTCACCGTTATCAACAGAATTTAAGTTTCTTTAAAAAGCTAAAGGATGTTTCCTAATAGAAATAATAAGATAAATGTTTCAGGTATGACATTAAAAGACAATAAAGCTTGTAAGAGTTAAAAAATGGTTATCATCATCTGTTGTTATATATTGAACTTTTATATTTCCACTACAGGGGGTCCTAGGGTTACGAACGGGTTCAGTTCCTGAGGACGTTCTTAAATCGAAACACATGCTTTGTGCATACCATACTTACAGAATAATAATTAAAATCCCACTATATCATAACCTAAGTCCATATATACATCTAAAATCATTTAATTTACGAGAAAGGAAGAAATAAAATGACAAAATACAGTAAATTTAAAAAAAAAAAGTCATCAGGTAAATAAAATACAATAAATCTAAAGATTAACCTCATTCGCATTGGAGTTGGGCTCGGTAGAATTTAGCCTACTAGAGACTGCAACTGGGGGATTCATTAGCCTACAGGAGGCAGCAACTTCAAATATATGACATGGGGTGATTTTTTTTTTTTTTGCTATTTTTCAGGAAAAATTGGGTTTTGTATACTGTAAAATATTGTACAGTCTCGTTCAAGAGACTGCTGGAGACACCTGGCAACTCAAGGCCGTTTGTTTATAGTACGAAGTAAAAATTATGAATGAATGTAAAAGGTTATCGGTGATTGGTTACTTACACGTAGTTCCCTGTTGCTTAATTAATGGTTGGGCTTTGTTGTTTCATATTACATTATACTTCGTATTATAGTAAACAAACGGACGAGAGTTGCCAGGTGTCTCCAGCAGTGTTTGAAGAATCTTGAACGAGACTGTACCTCCCCATCACCCTATCTCTGTACCCAAATTACTGGTCAACAGCAAGTTCAGTATAGGAAGGTTTTGGTCTACACTTATTTCCCATATTCGCGAGGGTTGCGTTCTTGGTAATCGTGAATTCACAAACACAATTTAATACCTTATGGAAAAATAGGGTATGGAACCATGGCTTCCAAGATTATAAATTTTCTCATAATATTTTGGGTTATAAATGATAAATGTTTCAGAGATGGAGTTGATGTTTATATGGAATGAGTTTTTGCAATACAAAATCATAAATTTTAACAAAAATAATTGTTTTCTCTACGTATAATTCAAGTCTGGGTATGTAACGTACATCACTCGGGATATTATAGTCTACCCGATTAAAACCGTTTTCTCTAATACAGAGTAAAGGAGTAAAATTACAATACAGCATGCCCTTACAATTCGCGGCCTTCAATTATTCACAGAGGACACCCTGGATGTACAGTATAGTCTCGATTTACCCGTTTGGTCATTTACACGGCACCTAGCCAGACCGGCAATTATTAGTTACGCGGTACATTCCATCATTTACGCGGGAAGCGGCGCGGGCAGGGTGCGCACAAGGTCGCCCAGTCAACAAAACATTACCGAGTTCTTCACCCACCGCCCACCACAGCCAGCCCAAGTCAGTGATAGTGAGGATATGGACTTTGAGGGGTTTGACAAAGAGGATCTGCTAGCCTCTGTGGTGGATAGTGATACAGGTGAGGGCCAATAATCTGCCCTCTGCCTCGGAACCAACCCCCCATCCTCGTGTGCCCAGCCATCTCTTCTACTAACATAAGTGTTAAAAAACCTAATATTATTGATATCTCTCTTAAATATTAATTGTGTGTGCATACCACCATAAAATTAAGATGTTAATTTTACTACAATGTACGTATTGTGTTGGAAAAAGGGTAGTCTGGCGGTCGGCCCAGTCTCTATTTCAATTAATCCCATATGTTGTTATTTCGTTTACGCATTTCTCGTTTTACATAAACCTCCATGGGTTTAATTGACAGCGTAAACCAAGACGATACTGTACTCAAGAATGTCTGCGAGTAGTTTTAAAGCTGGCAGCATTTTCACAGCCAGGACAGGGAGCTCACAAGTTTTATGGCATCCCACAAGGTGTCTCTCTTGTCCCAGATGGCTAGGTCATGTGCGCTCACTCTGCCTCAGTGACAGTCCGGGCTAAACACTTGTCTGTTTTGCATGTGTGCTACTCTGCTCTCTTAACAACTGTGCTCCTTGTGCTTGTGATGGCTCCCAAATGCCCTCAACCACCTTCATCCAGCTGCGAGAAGGTGCCCAAAGAAGGTCATTTATTTCTTACAAACCTGGCAACAGGAGCGAGTAAGGGGAGTGACTGCTATTTAGTGTGTCATTTGCAGTTGTAACTCTTCTTATTCCCTGCCATATTTCACTAGATTTACTGTTATTATTAGTGTTTACTGATAGAATTATGTTTAATAGTGATTAATCATGGCATTATTGCTAAGTTAGCTCATCATTGTAACCACCATGCTACTGGACGAAACTGTGAGGTGTTATGGTTTTTCAACTCATGTTTTTGGGTAGATATACGTAACTTTCTCCATTTATTTTTACTGTTACATACACACAGAATACTAAATACATATTGTGGAAAAAGGTAAAAAAAATAGTTGTTGTAAGAGCAAACACTTAACAGGGGGAGAGCACAAAGCGGAGCTGATGGGGAGCATTGCTAGGGAATCGGCGTCCCAGCTGATCCTCGTTGCTATGGTGGAGCAGGTAGTGTATGCAAATGGCGACTGTGTTAAATTTTCATTTGGCTTTTATTTTACTGGTTTGGCAATATTATTTATTTTTGTAACTTATTTATTGGTATTATTTTTATTTTATAACTTATTTATTGGTATTATTTTTATTTATTCCTCACATTTCCTGGTACAGTACTGTATACAGTATGTATATTATTTTAGAAAAACTATGGCTGAGGTGTTATGGTCGTTTTTCAACTCGTATTTTCAGGTAGATAAATGTAACTTTCTTCATTAATTTTTACTGAGTTACATGCACACACCATCCTCCATACACTGTGAAAAAAGTACAATATTACACCACAATTACCACCATCCTTAAGTTGGGTTGGCTAGATGGTTATGAAAGAAATTTTGTAAGTTTGATCTATGTATCGACCAAGCTGGCGCTCAATGCCATTCAGTCTAGAGACAGTAATTTTTACGAGGAAAAAATTACCATATGGCAACCCAACCAACCCAACTTTAAAGCATGGAGTTGACTTGAGGGTAGACTCTTGCATTTTATCTACATTTCATACATTTTGTTGTCTTGTTTCTGATAACAGTGGTCCTTTGGTTAACGAAAGGTTCGATTTACGAATTAGCTCTCAAAAGGATTTTCAGTTCGATTAACGAACAAAACTTCGATTAACGAAATCCTTACGACAAACATGTTTTGTTGTGCGCATCAGCTGATCGGCTAGTCTGCCAATACAGTAATTGGTTCTACTGTATGTTTACATTCGTTTCCAGTGGAGTAAATATCAAGAAAGTTGGTCTCTTGAATATTTCTGCATTATTTATATTAAAATTATTGGTCATTCTGAATTTTAGTTAACATATTGATAATATAGACAGTACAGTGATCCTTCGGTTAACGAAATTTCGGTTAACGAACGACCTTCCGGAATGAATTGTGTTCGTTAACCGAGGGACCACTGTACAGGGAACAGTTTTGTACGCCCATCAGCTGATTGAATCACCCCACAACGCTTCTCAGTTTAACTTTGTTTACAGTGGAGTGAACATCAATTTGTTGGTCTTTTGAATATTTTTGAATTTTTACATTAAAATTATTGGTCATTCTGAAATTTAGTTAACATATTGATAATATACAGTGCAGAAATTATTATTAAACACGAAGAAGGCATTAGAACCAAAGCACTCTGTAAAGAATATGACATGTCATCATCAACTGCCTCTACAATCAGCTATTTGATATGTAAACAAAGCTGCCGGGAATACGACATACACACCTCAAAGTGCTAAAATACAGTATTCTATTGTTTTTTATTTATTATTATACAGTATACTGTACAGTACAGTACTGTATTTAGTTTATATTTAATGTTTTGTTAATTCTATTACCGGAATACAGTACTTTATATGTATACTTTTTCTGTGAGTTGGAACCAATTACCCAATATCCCATTGAAAAAATAATTCGGTTAACGAACGACTCTGTGGAACGAATTGTGTTTGTTAACCGAGGGACCACTGTATTTGTGAGAGGATTTTCCCATCACAGGAATTATTTATTAGTGTGTGCATGTGTGTGTGTCTATATTTTCATGTGAATGTCTCTTACCAAGCTCCTGACAAAAGTTGTATCTTGAACGTCTTGCAGCACTACAAGCAAGAGATAAAGCTGACAGTCCACTTGTCTCTGGGTCATCATCTATTTGGAGAGCTGCAATAAAAAAATATTTTCAGTGATCAAATTTTTTTTCCCTCATGTTAACTTTAGCTTATATGTGACATCTTAAAATATAAAACAAATTGTGTTTGCAGTTTTTGTGTCTGAGCAATGCTTCGTACCTACAATAATTTACCAATAATAATTCATATTGAAATTTAATATTTTAAACAAGCTGGAACTGGGTGATTTAATTAAAACTATATAATAAATAAGTCTACGGGGTTAAAAACACAGCTCCCAGGGTCTGAAACTTTTGATAAATCCAAAAATATACAGTATTACAATTTAAAAATGTGATAAACATTCCTAACTACAGATGATTCTCAGAAAGTATACACTAGATATGGCAGATCTTCCTCAAGGAAGAAGGTTGAGAGTATCCACTGTCACATGAGCACACATGTTCCTCAATTATCTTTTGTTAAGCTTGGCCACAAAACAATATATTAGGGATCAAGCAACTTAGTTCCAACTCATACTGACAACCCAATAGTAGGAAGGAGAGAGTGATCCAAATTGCTTTATCTAATCCTGGACTGATTAGTAACAGGATTTCAATACAGTTACCGGTACTCATATCTGTCCTAGTTCCAGTCATGATTAAGTTTTGTATTCCGTACTGTATATACTTGTGTATAAACCAATCTCATATGCAGTTCAACCCCTGATTTTTTTTTTTTTTAAATCATGAGTTTTTCATATATCTTGTATAATTTAACATTAGCTTTTGAGAAATACTATGTATAATCTTAGACATAATTTGTAGCAACACACCAGATTCACACCAACATGTCTTGGCCGTGACCACCACCACAAAAGCTGATGCTATGAACAGTGTTGCCAACTCCTATGAGGAATGAGATAACATATACAGGTTGACAACCCTTTATCCGAAATTCCAAAAACCGAAAGTTTCTTTTTTTTGTGGAGCATTTTTTTTTTTTTTTTTTTTTTTATAGCCCACCCGGGCACAGGTCACTGACCCACATCGGGGCCTGGGGGGTGAAAATGTAATAATAATAATAATATAATGATAATACAGTAATAATAATAATCATTCATAGTAAATAAAAATTTTAATAAAAAATACACAAAAATAAAATAAGAATGATAACAATAATACTGTAATAATAAAATAATAATAATAAAGAAATACAAAAATGAAAAAAAGATCAAAAGTGAGAACCACGACCTAGACCTATGAATTATTATTGTTATTATTATTATTATTATTATTATTATTATTATTATTATTATTATTATTATTATTATTATTATTATTATTATTATTATTATATTTTAGCCCCCAGGCCCCAATGTGGGTCAGTGACCTGTGCCCGGGTGGGCTGATCCCTGTATAAAAAAAAAAAAAATTCATTCTGAAAACCGAAAAATTCCAAAAACCGAAATGCATCTGGTCCCAAGGATTTCGGATAAGGGATTGTCAACCTGTACTGTACAGAACAAGAAGTCCTCATTTAACGATGAGGATGTGTTCCTAAAGAATCGAACATTAAGCAAAAGTACCGGTAAACAAAGGATACCGGTAATGAGGAATAATACCCGTGGAGATGGCATGACACTGTGAGGTGAGTGAGGCTGAGCTGTGAGCTATGTTGTTGTTCAACTTGTAATTTTGGGCAGATATACGGAATTTTCTTATTTATTTATTTTTTTACTGTTACATGCACACACAATTGTTCATACAGAATGTGCAAAGAAAAAAAAATCACTATAAAGTCAAAAACAAAGGAAATAAGCATTTCTTCGTGCTAGCTGTGACCTAAGTTATGGTTATTTTTCAACCCAATTTCGTGGTAGATATGCGCATCTTTTTTTTTTACTGTTACATTCATACAGACTGTACAAAAAATAAAAAAAATAATTATCATAAAGTCAAAAACATAAAGAGGATAAAAAAATTTACTTGCACAGGAGTGAGAACACACAGCAGGGGAGGGGTGGGGAACAGAGTGGGAAATCTCTCAGCTGTTTGCTGTCTCCTGTGTCCCATGTGCAGTGAAATGTTTGCCAAATGGCAATACAGTTCAGCCAGGCAGTCACCAAGCTCACTAAAGACATGTGTGGTTGCTGCCAGTATGACAAGATGTCACATGGGGGGGGGGAAACAGTTACAGCTCACTGACTCAATACATACTGCACATTCATTTCCCACACATACATGCTCTTCATTTTTCCTATTTATATAGTCTTATAGTACTGTACCAAGTTTTTCTGACTTTCCTCCCAAATTTTTTCCAATCAGTAGAACATCACTAAACAAGAAAAGGAGTTATCATTATTTTATTGCTAAGTGAATGAATGTTAAATGGGGTATATCTGTGAGGATTAAATCAAATATTAATAAAAAAAAAATACTCTTCCCATTAGCTACTGGATGACAAAATTTGTCATTAACTTCACTACATATGGAAGCAGCTCAGAACAGCTGAGGTTCCTTACTCCACCCTCCCCAGCTTAGAGCGAACACTTTAACACACGAAGAAAGTTTATTCCCTTTTATGTTTTTGACCCTATGATAATTAATATTATTTTTTTCTTCATATTCTGTAGGTAAGATTGTAAGTGCATGTAACATTAAAAAATATATTCAATAAATAAATAAATAAAAATTTCATATATCTACCACAAATTACAAGCTGAAAACTAACCAACCATAACACAGCTCACAATTTAGCCTGGAGTGTTAGGGAGAGGGCTAGGGGGATGTGCCTATAGTGACAAGTCTTATGTTACTATTACAAATACAAAACTAATAAGAAATTCTGAAAAAAAAAAAAAAAAAAAGGAATATTATCACACAGGTAATGTATAAGTCCACAACGTAAGACATATGCCTGAAGCAAACTCACAACTCCCAGTACCTATTTCCCAGCATTTATAATCCATATCACCTATCTTTCTTATATTATTTAACAATTGTGCTGCTTCAAACAAAATTTATATACAATCCAGATGAAAAATGCGGCTAAAACCATTAAGAAAAAGCTACATAACTCTTTAGCCCTGGGTTAGGGTGCCACTGGCAGTACCCCCCACCTGGGGTTAAATCGAGAAAAATCAACTTTTCCAAAATTAATTTTTAACATTTTTAAATGATAAAACACTACAAAAGAAGTAAAAAAATCTATATATTGACCCTTCAGTAACTTCCCTGGCAGCGCTGAGGGAGGGAGGGGGGGGGGGAGAGATAAGGGGACTGTGTTGTTTTGACAGCTGACGCGTGTGGTCACCTACGCACTTAGCAGCTATTTTTAGCTTGCCTTTGTGTCTGAGATGGCCTGTAATGCATATACAGTCATGCGCCGGTTAACATCCTAGATACGTTCTTGGAAACGTGATGTTAACCGAAATGGACGTTGTCCGAAATTACAGAAACCTATGGGATTTATTCTAATTGGTTCCAGGCACCCAACCCCAAGTTTCCCATTTTACGACCATTTAGACCCACTAAATATATATATAATGTTATGGTAAATATCATAAACACACCTAGGCATGGCTAGGTTTATTACAAAGTGATGAAAAGGTTACTGTAAAGTGGGTAGTCCACAAAACATGTCGCTATGTCTCTTCTTTATTTGAGTGCCCAGTCATAGGAGTCCGTTTTCTCTCACTTCAGGACACCTGAGTCGTTCGTTTTCTCTTAATCTTAGAGTGCAGTGCACCAGAGACTTTGTTATTCCTTAGTAATGACACAGAATTTGATATTGCAACTGGGGTTGCAATTGTTGAGGCAACTTAGATATGTCTGATTACAGTTGGAATATTCTAGATCCATTGTGAGTGATGTTTAAAGCTTCAACTGCCTTTATGGTTGGTAAAACTTGTCAAGTCTGTCAGTCTGAGTGGCATGTGTGAGTCTTTGTGATTGTACAACTGCTTTCATTCAGACCCACTAATATTGTTAAAATAATAAACAACTCCTCATTTATGTATTGTACAGCCCTGTAAATGTATTCAACGCATATTATATCATTATGTCTAAATCAAATGTAAGTCTGTATATTTTCAGCCACCGGCTGCAACTCTAATAATAAACCGTTTATTATTATTAAGATATAATGTTATGGTAATTATCAGAAACACACATCGGCATGACTAGGTTTATTACAAAGTAATGAAAAGGATACGATCAATACTGTACAGTGGGTAGTCCACAAAACATGTAGCCATGTCTCTTTATTCGAGTGCCCCGTCATAGAAGTCCGTTTTCTCTCACTTCAGAACGCCTGAGTCTTCCGTTTTCTCTTAATCTTAGAGTGCAGTGCACCAGAGACTTCGTTATTCCCTAGTAATGACACAGAATTTGAAATTGCAACCCCAATTGCAACTGGGGTTGCAATTGTTGAGGCAACTAGATATGTCTGATTACAGCAAATGTGTTATTGTCAATTTGTAGGTGAAAGATTTTATCCTCAATAGATGTAGGTTAACATTTCACCTGTAGGCAAATGCTTAAAAAAAGCCTAAGTAGGGAAGCATATTCCTTTAACACATAATATCTGACCAGTATGGGGAGGATCATCGTGTTTCCGTCAGGGGGTCGTGGAGTGGTGGTTCAGCAGGCGTCACTTTTTTTTTGGGGTGTATATGCGGTCGGACGTTAACCGGCACATGACTGTATCCTAACAAATACAAGTGTAGATCATATTAGTCCTGAAGGTGGGACGCTCTTAGTCTAGTGTCCCAATAACCAACAACCAGTGTATGAGTTATCAACAATCCCTGCTCTGAACTCCACTTGAGAACCTTCTAAGAAGCCTGAGCCAGATCACTGTGATCAGGATACATTTATTTCTCAATGCACTGAGCTACACAACATGAATAAAGGAACACTCTTGGATTATCACAGCCTGCATATGAACACACCAGCCAAACAATAAATAAAGTAATTCATAAATGTAAACACTCTTGTAATGCTTATTACAATATCTAGAAGTGTGGCTAAGTCAAGGATGATAAAACATATTCATACAATTTAGGAACAGCAATTAGCTTCCAATGTGAGAGAAGAGTGGGAGTCCTGTAACTGCAATTTTCAAGAAAATAAAAGTTCTTCAATATCATATTTTCATCTTACAAAAATAAAGATGTGCATGCAAGATAATGGGAAATGAAAGAGTAAACCATTCAACTACCTTGGCTGAGCTGTGGCAGAGAGTTGATTGTCATCTTTGCAATAGCTCAGACCATAAACACAATTTTCACAAAAAAGTAAAGTTCTTAAAAAGCATATTTTCATTTACACTTATGAATAATGAAAGAATATATGATCTATCTAATTTGGCTTAGCCATGGTGAAGAGATCCTGAATCGCATTAAATAGGTGATTCTGGGTCACTAGATAGAGACACATACTGTCTTCACTCAATGATAACTGTGTGTGTGTACTGAGGCATGGCCATGAGTGCAGGGGTAATGTTGGGGGACCTAGAGGCCTATGGAACACAGTTTATAAATGTGTCACTTGGCAAGTAATTTTAAAAACAACTGTCATTTAAATGTCAGGTAAATGGATTATTGGGTATTACTGCATATCTTTCATCAAATCAAGCACTCCAATTATAATATAGTACTGTTGCAACATCATTTCTTCATTCTTCAATCTTTCCTTACTCCATAAACACATTTTGGGGAAACAGAACTGAACTATGCATCCAATTCCTTGTTAAAAGACCCAAAGTTTAAGAAAGTTTAAGGTAGATATGCAGCTTTTTTTTTTCTTTTTTTTTTATCTGAATTATTATTACAGGAGTATTAAATTTTTGCCCCTCAGGCCCCAATGTGGGTCAGTGACCTATGCCCGGGTGGTCTAATCCCATTAAAAAAAAAAAAAAAACAGCCGCGGGAAATTAAGGTTTGTTTACATCCAGCAGCTCTCTCTCTCTCTGCTTGTCTATACAGAGTACAACAATTAACCCTTCAATATATATGAGCAGTAAAGTGTTGCTTTCATATTCTTATGTAGAGTAATGACGATATGTTTTCACATGTGCGCACTTACATACACGCAGTCTCACTTTTTTTTTACCATTAATGGTTAGCTACTTATATTGTTCCATTTATTAACATTAAATAACATTACAGGTACTTCAAACAACCATATTATTTTTTTTACATTAATTTTACTACAGCTAAAATCAGGGTCTTATTTTCTTCAGTTTTATATGTAGAACCAATCAGTCACTGGTTTCGTAAGCTTTAACATAAACAATGCCGGCAGCCGTCTCGTCTCCTCTAATATTCCACGTATTATTAATAAATTGTATTGTTAATTTTGCACACACAAACATTAATTCAATAAAAACAAATTCAGAAACATTAATTAAAATATATATGAACAGTAAATAAGTGTTGCTTTCATATTCTTATGTAAAGTAATGACGATATGTTTTCACATGTGCGCACTTACATACGCGATCTCTCTTTTTCTTTACCATTATCGTTAGCTACTTCTATTGTTCCATTTATTAACATTAAATAACATTACTTAAAACAACCATATTAATTTTACTACAGCTACAACCAAGGTCTTATTTTCTTCAGTTTTATATGTAGAACCAGTCAGTCACTGGCTTTGTAATCAACAAAAAAATGCTGTCATTTCCTCGTGTGTTTTAATATTCTACGTATTATTAATGAATTGTATTGCTCATTTTGCACAGATAAACATTAATTCAATAAAAAAGACATTCAGTAATAAACAATAATGAATCTCTTGTACATAAGAGAAATGACGCTGTTTACACGATTATGCACATCGTCTGCATGTTGGCAGGTCGTTCAAACCCGTCGAAATTCAAGATTCCGCCATCAAAATTTTTATTTATTTATTTTTTTTGTGTTCCAATAAAATACGTTAAGAATTAAAAACTCGCGAAATTTGAGAAGCTACTATACGACATTTAACCCTTCAATATGTCTTCAAAGAGACCATGATGCAGAGAAAGTGGTGCTAGTGCTTCCAAGCATAAGCACAAGTCACTATCTATCCAGGAAAAGGGTGAATTTCCATGGTCCGGCACCGGTCAGGTCCCGAGGTTGCCGGACTAGAGAGGTACAACCTGTATTACCCACAAATAAACCATTTGTGTTGTGTATGATAACCAACTTCAGACCATTCATTCATATTTCACGTTCCTACTCCTTTCCTAAAACAGTTCTTCATTTGAGTTTGCTTTCATATTTTCTTCTTATTCTATCTTGTGGTGCAGTGGTATAGACAATATTCTCATATGGGACATAATAATACGTTATAAATATGATAACTTTCTTCCTTAAATATTGTCTTCCATGCCAGTACTGCCCCACACAACTCCATCTAAACCAAAAGATTAGTGAGTCCTCTAAGCATGCACATCAAGTCATCAAATGCAAAAAGAAATTAACTTGGCATCAGTTTTTGCTCTCCACAATCCATTATAATACACATGAAATTGGTGACAAGAATTTAGTAAGTTGCAACTTAGTTCACATAATGAGTGGAAATCCCTAACTAAAAACATTAATTCTCTGTATTGTTTGTACTCAATAGAAATGCATACATGCTACTCTAGTGGTATTTAAATCATCAATCTAGGCATGATGGAGCCTTCGATGATTCACAACCCAAATCAATTTAGAATTACCTGGTCTTGAAAGTGAGGAAATTCCTGCTTCTCTAGTGGTTCTTGAATCTGGCTCGACAAACCCTGAAGCAACAGCTAGATTGGAATCCCAGCATGGTGCACCTTGGTCTGCAAGCAAAAAGCTAAGTCAATGATTAATTTCTAAAAAATCCTGGTTTCTGAGTTTTTCCTTTTTCTTTTTTTTCTTTGACGAGATCTCTAATGACAATTACTAACTGTTCCAAAAATTGGTAAAGATATGAGTACAGTGGTCCCTCGGTTAACGAGCACAATCCGTTCAAGAAGGTTGCTCGTTAACCGAAACCATTGTTTCAATGTGTTTTTGGGTAATTGGTTCCAGCTCACCGAAAATTGCCTAAATTCAACAAAAAAGGTAGAAAAGTACACTTACTTTGAGGTGTGTATGTAGAAGGCTCCTGGATGATGATGATGATGATGGGAATTAGAATTAGAAGAAGGGAGAAGAGAAGCCATTGGGGTGGAAGAGAAGTCGCGCCATTTCACCCATAAAATTTTAGTTCTCTTGGTGCAATTCAAGATTATTTTCTTTAAATCAACACTGCACTGCATTATATATTGTCAATATGTAAAATAAATTTCAAAATGACCAATAATTTGCTTGCAAACACAGAAAAAAGCATTTAGTTGAAGAGAGTCTTAAGCAAGATGTTACCTCCACCGAAAAGACAGAGACTGGCACCTGTTTGGTGTGTTGCCAGGCTGGATGGCGCGCATAAAACTAGTTTCCTTACCGTCAATTATGTTCAATAATTGTTAAAAATGACTAAAAAACTTAATATTAAACTTTTAAAATTATTGAATAGTATAAACTTCTTGATATTTACTAAAATGGTAAGGAATATAAGCCCTAGAACCGATTACTGTATTGGCGGACTAATACTACAGCTGGTGGACCGCCAACTGCAAGCGAAAACATGTTGAGGTCGGCTCGTAAGAAACTAGTTAATGAGGGATTGCTCGTTAACCGAAGTTAAGAATCTTATGGAAGGTAACTCGTTAACCAAAATCTCATTAACCGAGGCGCTCGTTAACAGAGGGACCACTGTAAATTACTTTCTGAGGAATCAAGTATGTGAGGTCAAGTGCATTCAGTACTGTGGTGGTGTAACTGAATCTACATGGACTTGGATTAAAAAAAAAATGCAAGATTGATCCTGAAATCCTTTTTCTGTAGGAGCCCATGGCCAGGTGACTTCTCATAATACAGGCTGCCAATTTAGCCATTCAATATCCTCAAATATCCCTCAAGTTGATATTCTAAGAAATTGTTAACCAGCATCCCTTTCCTACCCAATACATCCAGGAACAGGTTTTTTAGTAGCTGCGCCTAACCAATTAGCAAACTTTGTGCCAAATGTATGGCTCTGTCATCTTGTTAAAGACTATCTGCCATTTTTCATTTACCTCTTAGCTGACTAAGCCACAAAACCTAGAGGGTGGGAGGTATCCAAGCCAATTTGCTGCAGGCACCACCAAAAAGGGGAATTTTAGGATTAATTCTATATTTTTCATTTATACACTCTGCCAAAAGCTGCTAGACAATAAGGAGATGGAGGAATTACAATAAAAATCAGGTTGTCAAACATAACCCCTATAAGTATCATTCAGTGCCTTGGTGTTAAAAATGGTTCTCTGGTTAAACAAACACCAATATTAATCATAGCCCCACACCAAGTCATATCACATGGACTTATTGGAGAAGAGTTGAGTGAAGACCGATTGCATTGAAGACACCTAAGAGTTCAGGCCAATCAATATACTGACATATGGACCCAGTCTTGTTAGAGTTGGTTGGATATAAACAAACAATACAAATGTAAAAAAAAAAAACAAAGTTACCTTAATGATAACACCTCAGAATGTAGGAAACCCCACTAACCCACCCTTATGGGTGTAACCAATTCAGAGCACAAAATGTAGCTTAACAGTAGCTGGCAGAGCTGAGAATGAGAGATCTGCTGAGGTAAGCAACTGAGGTCTGAATTCCAAATATTAGACTGACACTGAAATCAAGATGGAAGCCCTAGGTGTTGGTGTGTGTGTGCTGGCTAGGTAGACATTGTTAAGTTTAAGGACTATACAGTATACTCTTTAAGGTGAACTTTTGCTTCCAATCCATATCTTTAGAGGTGTTAGTTGCGACGAGATGGGATTACAAATTGTAAGACAACCCTCAGCTGTCATTAGAGAGTAATCAACTTTCTTAAGACTCCCAAAATCAGCTTGCGAACTAACAGGAACTGCCTGGTGAAGGGAGTCAAGCTATAAAATGAGAAAGAAATCCTCATGTTGTGATTGTTTGAACCAGGTAATAATAACAATAACAATAATAATAATAATAATAATAATAATAATAATAATAATAATAATAATAATAATTAACGGTTTATTGAAAGAGCTTGGCAGCCAGAAGGCTGAAAATATACAGTTACATATTTGGGGAATGGGTTTCAATTACAAAGGTGTGTGTGTGTGTGTGTGTGTGTGTGTGTGTGTGTGTGTGTGTGTGTGTGCATGCGTGCGTGTGTTGCCTCTCAGGTGGTGGTTCAACCTAGGCCACTGATTGGCTCTTGTGCTAATTTAATGTGAGCAAAAAAGAGATTCCGCCCTTCACATCTCAAGTTGTCTGAAAATTTAGCTACAGTACTTTTCACTTACTGGTAGTTTTTTTTTTTTTTTTACTGTACAGCTGTATTATTTTCAGTTTATATTGAATATGTAAATCAGAGGTCATTGTAAGGATATCACATACACACAAGAAAATACAGAATACCTGTACAGTACATTAACACTCTCAGACTCAGAGCCTGAGACACATACGTGCATGAAAACATACGCTCAGCCTCTGAGATTTTTGCCAAAAAATATTTTATTTATTTATTTATTTATTTTTTTAGGGCTCATTTCACTGCCATGGAAATGTTTTATTAATTGTAATGGGGCCTCTTCTAGCATAAAATTGTCTGAAAATTTGTATGAAACCACAAAAAGTTTAAAATTCTTGAAATTTAAGCCACTTTTTTTAGAGTATAAGTTGAAAAAGTAGGAAAATGTTTAGTCACATCTTGATTTCCATTCACATTTTCCTTGTATTATTGTGTTCATTAAAGAACAAAGCAAGTACAATATCGTGGTACGAGAATAAGGAAAAATAATATAACACAAAAACTCATGGAATAATTAAAGGGCCAAGCAGCACACCCTCCTCTCGTTCTAATGGCCAGAGCGACACTGGCTTCATGCTGTGCTGCCATGCACACGATAACCAAGACCATCTCGGGGAAGGTGATAAGGCCCACACAATGAAAAAGACGTCTGTCAAATGACATCCAAAGTTCAGTCAGTTTCACTGAATAGTTTTGAGTTATTTGAAAACATAGCCCATTAGATGCCATGTTGGCGTCGCGAGGCTGAGCGTAAGTTTTTTCGCCTTTTATGTTCGACGCCACAATGGTGTCGTGCGAGGCTGAGAGGGTTAAAATATGATGAGGGCATGCAAGAGTGATGCAAATATAAGACTGGTAACATGAAATGAGTACAGTACATCATCCTAACAATGCCTCCCTTGGTCTACTGCATGGTCTTTTGGCTTTGTACAAGATGCTAAAACTCTTGACCAATGTATTACCCACACTTCATATATTGTTTACTTAGTCCAAAAGTTCAATATTCCTTTATACTGTAATGGGTAATTAGATAATTGTATTGTTAATTTCAGTGGACAGGACGGTTGGAAACTTGAACCAAGAATGCATACCATTTTTTTTCTTACTAACTAATTATCAGCTTCAATATTTAGGCATCTTCAAGAAACAATCTCTGCAGAAATATAAGGAAAACTGTTTTACATTTTTAATTCTTTCAAGAGGTTTCCAATATCAATGGAGGGAAAGTCAGAATCAAGATCACATACACACATTCACACGAACAGTATACAGTCTCTCCTCGACTTACGGCAGGGCTCCGTCCCCACGACCAGGTCATAAGTCGAATTGGTTGTAAGTCGAAAAAGCAAAAATAATATGTAGAAATTCTAAAATGAAATAAAGTACAGTAAAAGTAATCAATAATGAAAAAATGAATAAAGTGTTACTGTGAACTTACCTTTAATGTAGTCAGCTGAATGCACACAGGGCCTCAAAAATTTTTTAATTAAGCATGTAGACTACATTAATTGGATGAAGCAGAGGAGAAGACAGGGCTGGGTGGGTCATCAAGTTTGCTTTCTTCAGACAGGCTAACATACCTGCTTGTTGAAGGTATTGGATCATCTTTAGGGAATGAAGAGGCAGCAGTGGTGGACTTCTTAAAAAATATGTCCAATTTAGACTGCACAGTTTGCCTTTTCTTTGCATTTTAAATCTCCCTGTAGCAAGCAAGTGCATCTTGGATCAGTCTGTCAACTTTGGCATAACGCTCATAATTTTGATCCATGCCATCAAACATTTGCATTCCTTTATTATTTGTAGCAAATGCCTCTGCCATTTGTTTCACTGAAAACTTTTTGGGGGGTGCAGGTTCTTCTTCTACATTTTGTCTCTCTTCTTCCTCTGCAATTTTCTGTGCATCCAGTTCAATAAGATCCTCGTTACTTAGCTCTTCTACACTTTCCACCAACTGCTCAACATCTTCATTATCAATTTCTAACTCCAGCAGTTGACCCAACTGCACCATCTTGTTACTAATCTCAGAAATTGCTTCATCTTCATTAAATCCTTTGAAACTGTTCACATATCTTTTCAGGACTTTCTTCCATATTCCATTCATGCACTGACCTGTAACCTCATCCCATGCTGCAGCTATGTTCATTGTACATTGCAAAATGTTGTAGTCCTTCCAAAACTCTCCGAGCGTTTTCTCACCTTCAGTAGCAGCAATAGCCTGAGCGAAGGTCGTACGTAAATAATACGCTTTAAAAGCAGCAATAGCTCCTTGATCCATGGGCTGGATGATAGAGGTAGTGTTAGGTGGAAGGTAGACTACCTTAACATCAGGGTGCAGGTCGTCCAGGTGTGGTGGATGTCCCAGAACATTATCTAAAATTAATAAAATCTTGAATGCAACCCCTTGTTGCAGACAATACTCCTTGGCTATTGGAATGAAACAACTCAGGAACCAATCCTCAAACAGTGCTAGGGTCATCCATGCTTTCTTATTACTGCGATAAAACACTGGCAGTGTGCGTGTGCTTGCTGACATTTTTAAAAGCCCTTGGGTTCTCTGAAGGTACTCCTCGACTTACGACTACCCGGACATACAACCGCCACATTCATATAAAATATTTTTCAAATTACGTATTTTCGAGTCCCGACGTTAGTGATCGCACTGTGTACTGAAATTTTTTTGTTTGTAATTCCCTTTAAAATGGCTGGCAAGCATAAAAGTGACAGTTCCCATGGTGCTGAGAAGAAAAAGAGACACCCATTTTAGATTTTCTATGTATTATTTTCGCATTTTCGACTTATTATCAATTTGACTTACGACCTGGTGATCAGTCCCTAACCCCGTTGTAAGTCGAGGACTGACTGTATCATGAAGGGTTTTACCTTGAAACCAGCTACGTTCCCCCCCAACAGAAGTGTGATTCGGTCCTTGAATGCCTTGAATCCCGGCAAGGTTTTCGTCCCTATGTAGATGTATGTCCATTCTGGCATGCGCTTTCAGAATAAGCCAGTTTCATCCACATTGAAAATTTGCTCAGGCAAATAATTTCCCTCCAAGATGACACGATCTAGCTCCTCCTTAAAAGCTTCGGCTGCACCCACATCAGCACTTGCTGCCTCTCCATTCACCTTTACACTGTGCAAACTGTAACGTTTCTTAAACCTTTGGAACCACCCATGACTTGCTGTGAAGTTTTGGTCACACTCATCTCCTGCCTGCTCTTTCAGGCTTTCAAAAAGGCTTCTTGCCTTAGCCTGTATGGTTAGAAGGCTTAAGGGTACATGCTTTTGCAGCTGATCTTCCATCCACATCACAAGTATTTTTCCATCTCATGAAGAGGACCTTGTCTTTTTTTCGTTATTATTGTTCCCTTTATAGGTACTGATCCTTTCACTACCTCACGAATTCATTCCTTGTCCTTCAAAATTGTTGATATCGTCAAGTGAGAGAAGCCAAGGTCGCATGAAATTGTTGCTACCGTTTTTTTTATTTTCATATTGCATTATTTTCATTTTCATCTCAAAAGTAACTGACTGTCTCTTTTTCTTCTCAGCACCATGAGAACTCTCAATTCTACGCTTGCCAGTCACGTTAAAGGGAATTAGAAACGAAAATTGAGTCAGTACACAGCGCGATCACTAACAACAACAACGACGGCCAAACCTCAACAGATCTTTTACGGCGTGGATGCTGTACCACGAGGCGGCCCAGCCCACGCTGTCGTACGAGGTCACATTACGACAAAACGTTTCGGGACTTGAATATATATGTGAAAAACATTTTATACGACCGTGGCGGTCGTGGTCGTATGTCCGGGTTGTCGTAAGTCGAGTATGTCATAAGTCGAGGAGAAACTGTACTTTCGATTTAACGGAACCGATATAACGAACTCTTGATTTAGCAAAAGGCATTTTTTCGTTATTTTTTGCTCGATTTAATTAACTAGTTTGCGCAATCGAGATTAATTCCACTAATACTCACACACCTGAGACTAATGATACAGTAAAACCTACTTCAGCGTACAGCAAATGTACTAAATGTATAAAAACGATAAATACAGGGGCCCCCTAAAATCGCGGATTTTAATTTGCAGTCCTCTATTATTCGCGAATGACACCCTGGATGTACCCAAGAATGTTTGAGAGTAGTTTTAAAATTGCTGGTATTTTTGAGGTTGGGACAGGGAGCCATTTGTTCTCGAGACAGTAATTTCCTTTACCTGTATTGTAAATATGTGTGTGTGTGTGTGTGTGTGTGTGTGTGTGTAGACACACCAGTGGCGAAGCTAGAGTGTGTGCCCGGGCGCCCTTGAGTTTGCCCCCGTGACCCTACAAAAATACATATTGCACAGTGACTCACTCTTTTTATATATATATATATATATATATATATATATATATATATATATATATATATATATATATATATATATATATATATATATATATATATATATATATATATATATATATATATATATTAAATAGTTTGCCTTACTGTTGTCAGACAAAAGCCACCCCGATCAAAGTAGGGGGCTTTTGTCTGGGTGGCTTTCGTCTGGGGGGCTTTTGTCTGGGTGGCTTTTGTCGGGGGGGCTTTTGTCTGTACCCCAGTGAGGATAGTGTCTTAGTATAAAATCGCAATGCTGTGAAACAAAATCTTAATATTTAATCTCAGTACCGCAGCAAAAGTCACATCAATATTTTTTTACCAATACTTTAATATTTCTTACCTTATAGTATTATGTCTTCCAACGAAGTAAATAACTGGATCGAAAACACAAGAGAACTTAAAAGTCGTCTAGCCTCCCCTCGTCTTGTCACGATGGAGACTTGTGGAGAACTAAAGTGAATTGCTTATAACTGGTGGATTGGTCGGCTGTACATGAACTGATATGACCCGAGACTGCATGGTTTTGCAGCTACTGGAGACGTTAATCCTTCCCTTTGTATCGGCGGCAAGTTAATCCTCGTCGTGTCTGACCTAACACCTGACCCACACCACATGAGCTCACTGGCGTACTTGTTTGAAGTTGTTTCCTTAATCCTCAACAGGTTACAGGTTGTGTGTGGCGGGGGGGGGCGCATAGCAAGGGTGTAGCTCATGACGTGGCCGTGATGATGTGGGTCAGGTGTTAGGTCAGACACGACAAGGATTAACTTGCCGCCGATACAAAGGGATGGATTAACGTCTCCAGTAGCTGCAGATATGGGTGATGAGCAGACCCAAAAGTGCCGCCCGGGGCGGACCCCCCCCGCCCCCCCTAGCTACGCTAGTGAGACACACATACACACACAAAACACATACAAATAAATAATAATTGGAAAATCCTCTCACAAATAATCAGAAACAAATTTATTAAAAATATGAGTCTACCCTCAAGTCCGTGCTTTATTACTTTACTAATAAAGTACGGACTTGAGGGTAGACTTACATTTTTAATAAATTTGTTTCTGATTATTTGTGAGAGTATTTTCCCATTATTATTTATTTATATGTGTTTTACACACACACACACACACACATATATATTTATACAATACAGGTAAAAGAAATAATTGTCCTAAGGGCATTTCTCTGTACACAAGTAAAAATGTAAGCAATTAATTGAGTATAAACATCTCTTAGTTTGCACAAGAGATAAAAAGTTTAGTCCTTTAGCTTAGTACATTTGAGTACTAAGTGAGTACAATAATATGTTGCTCAAAATTATGACCTTTTCACAGGGAAAAGTCTGCAAAACTAGCCCCAGTGGTCAGGATATTATGGCATTGAATGTTACAGATTATTTCAGATCCCCCACTCAAGTAAGGGTAACCTGACATTCCATCAGAAGGTCAGTAATATGAGACCACTTATCCCCCACCCTACCTCCACCTGACATTGCATTAAGTCAGGTCAGGTCTCCCAAAAAAATAATATGGCCTTTGTCTTTATTCAAGACATCTTCAGGTCATGAGACCCACTAATCCCTCACCCAAGAAAGGGTTACCTGACATTCCATCCCTGTAAATTTAGTTACCTCTGAAGATGTCGTGAATAAAGAAGAAAGCCAAAGTGCTCCAATGTATACTTAGTTGACCAAGAGCTTGATTTATCGAAAATTTCGATTTAACAAACAGGAGTGGCTCGAATTACCTCAGTAAATCAAGAAAATACTGTATTATCAGTCATTCATTTTAGATGCTTTAATAAAATGTTCATGTTATGGTTTTCTCAGTGATATGACCCAAATATCTGCCTGTTTTACCCACGACTTCATATACCATAGCATTAGCATCATCTATCAACAGCATACCTATCCTTAAAATCAATCACTCATACATCTTATATTTTCTATCTTTCTTGCTAATAATTCTCACCTTTTTTCTGCTGTATGCCTATTTTGACTTTCTATAATGCAAATTCAAATAAAAGTAGAATGAGGAATACAAAATCCTTCTTTAAAATACTAATTAAGCAAAACTCATCCACAAACTTATTTCTCCTCCATGCCTGAGTAAAATTTTATTTTTATTTTGGTACAGTCACTATTTCAGCTTTCCTAGGAATTACAAAACATTTTTACCTCCACGTGAGGAAGAGTGCCTTCTTCTTCTGCGTCCAATGTAAGTTCCCTGGCTGCTCCTTTTCCTGGAACTTTCGTCATCCTCGGGATCATTGCTGGCTCGAGCTCTTGGACCTCGACGTCTCCTCTTTGGTGCAGCTGGAGTGACACTGCCCTCTTCAGTTTCAGAACCTTCCCCATCAGCCAAGTTAACTTGGGTAAGGTGCCCCTCATGGTGACGCTTCACGGGTACACTCAACCTACCACGACGGCGTGGTTCACTGCCTAATGTACTGTCCATTGTATTGGAGTCTGCAATGCAAATAAGATGAGATATATTAAGAGAATTGGAAGTGGTCTTACTGATGTATAAATTTAATGAGAAGAATAATACCATGATGAATTAAAAGTCTTGTTTCCATTTTAAGATACAGGTTGTAAAGAATAATTTATAGAAGTTCTAATGAGACTTGGATCAGATGATCTAACCCATTTAGACTAATGATCGGTTTTCTAAACACAATGGTATAGCATTTCCCCCATAATGAAAAAATCTTGGGTTTAATTCCTGAAGGAACTGGAGGAGTGGCAATAAAATGTGTACAATACCAGTGTTGCATGCCAAAGGTGCAATAACCCTTTAGTGGACTAGCATCCTGTAGCCTCAGTGAGGTAACCCATCAGCTTCTCATGCTAAGTACCAGGTGATCAATGCCTATTCAACATAATATATACTGTACCTGTATATATACATTTCATATTGCATAAAATATCTCTGAGAGTGACTTCATGTTGTTGCTGAATACCTAAGGCAAATTTTCTTTGTATCTATGAGTATAGCGAGTTTCTTTTTCCAGCTAAGATAAAATGCCCCGCCCCCTCTGCAAGAGTTACAGCTGATTGGCTGTTGCAAACCTGTCCGATTTTGTCCTGAGTAATGATGTACAGGTATTTCTAAATGAGTTAATTCATAATCGTTGGGATGACCATTTCTGACGAGAAAGATATTTAGCTAAATTATATACTGTAGCTTCATTATTTCAAACATAAGCACGTAGGAAGTTTAACAGAAGTATTATACGTGAATTAACTGATAAACCTGGGTAACATATTCACGCATTCGGAGGATGCATTTAATATACAGCTACTCCCTGACTTACGACCTACTCGACTTACGACCACCCGGACATACGACCACCTCAGTCGCACCAAAATTTTGTCAAATTATGTATTTTTGAGTCCCAACGTCAATGATTGTGCCGTGTACTGACAAAATTTTCGATTGTAATTCACTTTAAAAAGGCTGGCAAGCTTAAAAGTGAGAGTTTTGTGGTGCTGAAAAGAAAAAGAGACACCCATTTTAGATTTTCTATGTATTATTTAAGCATTTTCGACTTTCAACCATTTCTACTTACGACCTGGATTTGGGTCCCTAACCCCGTCGTAAGTCGAGGAGCAGCTGTATACTTATTTTTACCCACAATAAGGCATTTTAAGACAAATTACATATCAGTAATAGTACATTATGCAAAAACAACATTTTAAAAGATCAGAATCACATTGAAATATTACACGACCGTTTGCAGAGGCGGGAAAAATATGAAGTAGTTCGCAGTCATATTTCCCGCCTCTGCTGAGGGATTTGATTTTATGTCATTGTTGTTTACATAAATTTTATTTATAGCTATTGATTTGTATGACTTCTCAAGAAAATATTTATTTACCCCTGGTATGTGTCATCACACTCCCTCGCGCCACCAAAACAAAATGATCCAAGTTAGATACGAAGGAAATATGCTTGAATAAAAGTTATTAGGACCTCTAAGCTATGTAGTGTGGCCTGTTAGTGTGTCTGTGTGAGAGAGACAGTGAACAAAGGAGGAATAAATATGAAATATGGCTGAGAGGCAATCTCTGTCCCTCAACCTCCACCCTAACAGGGAGCCTGGGACAATTGCCACTTATTTAGGCTGTGAAATGTCACTAGTGAGTGTGAGAGATTCGTTAAAATCGGCATTTATAGACGGCAGGGATGCTGTAATGACGATCCTGTTCTGCCGTTTTAAAATGGCGGTGACGCTTAATGGAATAAGTAGATTACCTCTAACTTCATAAATTCTCATTAACTCCTAGTCAACCACTTTGATTTTATATTGCAAATGCTTCATTAATTCCTTAATCATTCTTGAGGAAAAGTACTCAAATAACTTGCCTTCAGAAAACTGGTCAATCTTTGTGGTATCTCCTAAACTCTCCAATTCCACCTCAGATGAATCTCGACCAGATTTGCTTGAGTCATCCAACTTGGCTGCTTCATTATCCCTAAAATTTAATAAAAGAAAAGCCAATATATAATATAATATAATATAATATAATATAATATAATAATATAATATAATATAATATAAAAAGAACATAAGAAAATAAGGAGTCTGCATTAGGCAGGTTAGCCTGTGCATGGCAGCTCCTGTCGAGTTACTACCACTCTCTATCATCAATGAATCTATCTAGCCTCCTTTTAAAACTTTCCTGCATTCCAGCACTTACTACAAAGTTGCGAAGCTTGTTCCACTCGTCCACCACCCTATTTGTGAACCAGTTCCTTCCGATCTCCCTCCTAAACCTAAACTTATCCAACTTAAATCCGTTGCTACGAGTCCTATCCTGCTCGGATATTATAAGAACTTTATCTATATCCCTTTATTGATTCCTTTCACCCACTTAAATACCTCTATCATATCTCCCCGCACTCTTCGTCTTTCTAGGGAATGCAAGTTTAGTTTCTTTAACCTATCTTGATATGGAAGGTTTCAAAGTCCAGGAATTATTTTTGTCATTCTTCGCTGCACTGACTCCAGTGAATTGATATCCATTCTATAATAAGGGCACCATAACTGAACCGCATAATCGAGGTGTGGCCTGACTAGCACAAGATATAGTTGCAATAAAACCTCTGCACTCTTATTACTTACACTTCTAGATATAAAACCTAATACTGTTTGCCTTATTTCGAACATTAACGCACTGTTTTCTAGGCCGTAGGTCCAGGCTTACAAGTACCCCTATGTCTCTTTCACAAGTCGACTTTTCTAGGTTGATGTTGTTAAGGCTGTAAACATTGACAGTATTTGTTCTTCCAATATTAAGTACACTGCAGTTTATTTAAATCCTCCTGTAGTGCTTTTGCATCCTGCCCTGAATTAATCTGCCGCCCTATTTTGGTGCCATCCGTTAACTTGCTTATGTCCCTGCTGATCCCAGTATCTAGATCGTTTATGTAGATTAAGAACAAGAGTGGGCCCAGTACTGACCCCTGGGGAACCCCACTGGTTACACAGTCCCACTCAGATTTAACACCATCTACGCTGACCCTCTGCGTTCTATCGGTGAGCCATGATTTTATCCAATTTAAAATTTTCCCCTCGATACAATGAGCCTTAACTTTTCTCAGAAGCCTCTGATGCGGTACTCTGCCAAACGCTTTTCTAAAGTCTAAGTAAATAACATCGTTATTTTCGTCATTATCTACTACCTCGAAGACTTTCCTAAAAAACGTCAGCAGATTTGTCAGACAAGATTTTCCCTTTGTAAACCCATGTTGAGAGTCGTAGATTAATTTGCTTTTCTCTAAATGCGATCGGGTGCTATTTGCTATAATTGATTCAAGAAATTTCCCCACTACTGACGTCAAACTGATCGTATATATATATATATATACTTCATTATTAGTCCATATAACAAGCGGACTTTGAACATATAATCAACGACCTCACCAGCAAGGAATCGAACCCTCGACCTACTGGGTGTGACTAGGGAACGCTTACCGGCTAGGCCACAAGGACACTAAAAGCAGTTCTAGACTCTGTTATATTTCACACAAAGCCTGTTCAACGAGCTGATGGCGCCGTGAACCTCAATGGGAAACTGCCCGTGCCTCTTATGTGGTGTCAGTAGCATTTTACCGAATCCAGCTGGTATGAAACGCGAGGTACATATATATACTTCATTTTTAGTCCATATAACACGCGGACTTTGAACATATAATCAACGACCTCACCAACAAGGAATCGAACCCTCGACCTACTGGGTGTCCCTCTTCTGGTTTGACAACTGTTTTGTTCCTGACGTGCAGAAATTCTGCGAGCAACAGAATGTTCCATTCAATATTTTGTTGCTCCTTGACAACGCACCTGGACACTCGCCCCTACTTATGGATCGTCACCCCAACGTAAAAGTGGTCTTCCTTCCTCCCAACACTACGTCATTAATCCAGCCCATGGACCAGGAGTTGATCTGCAATGTGAAAGCTGCGTACTCTGCAAAGAAGTTCAAGCTCCTGAACGACTCTACCAACACCAAGGATGAGTTGCGTAAGCTGGGTGACACCGACAGCGAGAGCAAAAGCGACGAGGACAAGGAACAAGAGGCGGCGACTCAAGAACTTCTCGTCAAACAATTTTGGAAGAAGTTTAACGTTAAACAAGCTGTAGACTTCTTGGTGGAGGCATGGGATCTGCTGACTATTGCTACGATTCGTCACGCATGGAGACATGTGTTGCATGGCATACCAGGTGAGAGGAGGAGTGAACCTGTGACTGGTGAGGTTCAGACTGTTGCAGTAGCAGTGGACCTTGCCAGAGAAGCTGCACTCAATATTACAGCTGAAGGCTTCTCCGAGACCACCAACGAAGACATCCTGGAGGTGATCAAAGATCCTGAAGTGACTGCCGACGAGATGTTGGAAGAAGAACACGCCAGTGAAGAGGAGGAAGAAGGTGCGTCATTCACCGAAGAACCTAGTTTAAGTCATAGTGATATTAAGTGTGTCATAGAGTTTACAGAAAAAATTAAGTCCGTCCTTTCCCGCGACAATGACGATGAACGCTATGAAGTCTTCCATACCCGACTGGTGCAGGCTATGGAGCCGTACATCAAGGTGTATCACGACAACATCAACACCAGCCGTCAGCAAAGCATAACCGAGTTCTTCGCCCGCAACCCACCACAGCCAGCCCAAGCCAGTGATAGTGAAAGTGAAGTTGACTTTGAGGGATTTGTCAGGGAAGCCCTGACAACTGTAAGTGACAGTGATGTTGATTCACCTAGTAATGGTGATTCACCTGAGGGCCAGTAATCTGCCCTCTGCCTCGGAACCAGCCTCCATCCCCGTATGCCGACCCATCTCTTCTACTACCGTAAGTGTTCCACCTAACTTTTAGTTTCTCTTAGGTAACCTTCATTTTTCCTATGTTAACCTTTATCTTTCCTAACCTAACCTCTTCTATATTACTTGTTTTTTCATACCATCATAAAGTTAAGATAGAATTTTTACTACAACATAGTTATGTGTCGTCAAAAAGTGGAGTTTGGGGGTCGGGCTGGGTTCTATTGGAATTAATCCCATATGTTCTGTTGTTCACTTAACGCGGATTTCACTTAGCGCGGGACCCTCTGGGTTCAATTGACCGCGTTAAGTGGGGTACAACTGTGTGTGTGTGTATATATATATATATATATATATATATATATATATATATATATATATATATATATATATGTGTGTGTGTGTGTATATGTGTGTATGTATATGTGTGTATGTATGTGTGTATGTATATGTGTGTATGTATATGTGTGTATGTATATGTGTGTATGTATATGTGTGTATGTGTATGTATGTATGTATGTATGTATGTATGTATGTATGTATGTATATATTATATTATTATACTAGAATGTTTCTGCTTTTAAGTCTTACCCTCTTGGTGAATCTGATATATTGGAGATAATGCTCTCTGGTGTGGTTGGAGGAGTATTGTCCATAACTGTAGTTTGGGCAGATGATTGAGCACTTCCACTTCCTGCTATTGGGCCACAATTACCAGATGTGGAAGGCCCTGTTGAGGCACCAACTGACCCACTAATGTTACTACAGGTACTATTTCTAGTACTTGCAGAAGCTGCTGCAGCAGCTACAACTGCTATACTAGAGCTGAGTATTGTATTACTAACATTCGACACAGATCTTGATATCTGTTGGTATTGTTGGTCATGATGCGGAGTTTGCTCTTGGTGATGGTGGTATTGCTGTAACTGTTCAGGATGTTGCCGCTGTGGAGGGTGATGGTTATGCTGAGCGTGTGTATATTGCTGAGGATGTTGTTGTGATTGTTGTTGAATTTGTTGGTGTTGCTGCTGTGCTTGATGCTGCTGCTGTTGAACCTGGTGGTGGTGATGTGGCTGCACCTGATGGTGATGTGGCTGCTGTACCTTCAGCTGTGGTTGCTGAAGTTGCTGCTGCTGCTGTATCTGGTGATGCTGCTGCTGAACTTTTAATTGTTGTTGTTGATTCTGTTGATGTTGCACCTGTGAGAGTTGCTGTTGATGAACCTGAGGATTTTGCTGCTGTTGCAATTGAGGACTGTGTTGCTGTTGTAATACCTGTGAATTTTGTTGTTGCTGCTGCTGTACCTGGAGCTTTTGTTGCTGTTGTCCTTGTGGATTTTGTTGCTGTTGTCCTTGTGAATGTTGTTGTAGTTGCCCTGATACAAGCTGCTTTTGTCCTAATGGATTTTGTTGTATTTGAGAGTGCTGCTGTTGCTGCAGCTGTGGATGATGATGCTGTTGTGCTTGTTGGTTCTGTTGTGCTGTCTGTTGTTGCTGGACTTGCTGCTGCTTCTGCAACTGTGTATGTTGTACTTGTGACTGTTGAGATTTTTGTTGCTGCTGAATCTGCTGGTGTTGCAGTTTCTGATGGCAGGATTGGTGTACTTGGGGAATCAACAGTGGCTGATGTTTTTGTTGTAAGGGTATTTGTTGTTGTTGTTGTTGTGGCTGTTTTAAAGACTGTTGTATCTGCTGGTGTTGAGAAGTCAATTGCTGCTGAGATAGGTGAAGTTGTGGAGGTTGCAAAGATGAAGGCTGAGAAGTAGATGATACTGTCTGCCCAACAGGTACTGGCCCTCTTTTGCCAAAGCTGCTGCCAGTAGGAACACTAGCAAAAGGCATTTCATTCTTTAAATCCGGATGCTGCTGAGGTTCTGAATCTGTGGCAATAGCATCATGTGTCATTGGACTACCAGGAGGAATGGTTTCTTTACACAAAAGGTCACCTAATCCAGTTTCTACTTCTTCCTCCATTCGCTTTGGAGTGGCTGAAGCTCTAGGTTTCTTTCGAAGAGGCCTATTATCATCTTCCTCTTGTTCATCTTCCTCTTGTTCCAAACCTACATCTTGCTTTCTGCCCAATTTGCCTTTTATGGTTGTTTGTATTACTGGCTCTGGCTCCTCCTCCTCCTCCTCTACCTCATCTTCATCCTCATCTTCCTCTGCATCATCATCATCATCATCATCGTCATCATCGTCGTCATCATCATCATCATCATCGTCATCCTCCTCTTCTTCATCCTCTTCTTCTACCTCATCTTCATCTACTACTTTCTGATCCTCATCTTCATTATCTATATCTTCATCTTTTCTCCTTCCACTTTTTCTTTCCATTTCTGTGACTGGTTTCTGTCCTCTACTGATCTGTGCAAATTTCTCTCCTTCACCACATATCTTTCCTCGCCTAATCCTCCTCTCCATATCAGGTCTTGATAGTCTGCTATCTGAGTCAGACTCTTCAGAAGTGTCAGGGACAAACTCACGGCTCAATACCTTTTTGACTCTGCCAGATGCCCTCCTTTTCTTGTCAGGGGTAAGTTTGCTATCAGTCTTACTGTCTTCTTCATTTTGTTCTTCTTGGTCTTGGCGTGCCCTCTTTACAACAGCTTCAATGCTTTCTTCTACTGAACTCTCTCTTTTGATTCGCTCAACATCAGATCCACTCTGACTTATAGATCCTGAATCACAATTTGGTGTGGTTTCTCTAGGTGGAGACTGTATGCATGGTATTGCAACTCGCTGTTGCATGTCCTTTATTTTTTCATTGGACTCTGAACGATTCAAAAGATGAGGAAATATATGCTGTTGTCTTTGTGAGAAAGGTATAACTTTGGCTTCTACTTTCTCCTCAGTTTTAATGGGTAGAATAGATTTCTCAGATTTGACATCAAAAGATTGTTTTGGAACTGGCTTAGCTAAAGCTTTAGACTCAATAACTGGCATAACAGCCTGAGCAAGAAGATGTGAAGAGGGGCCAAGAGGTTTTGGATGAGATATAACAGATCTCTCAATATTAGGATTTGGTTTTGGCTTTGCGGCAATCATGTGCAATCTTACAGGTTCTTTTAAAGGCAACAGGACTTTAGGGGTATCTGCTTGACATGACTTTGGCGAGGGACACTTGGGAAAGTCTGGCTTTACCAACTTCACTTCTGGTATGACTGCAACAGACGTCTCTGTTTTCATCGATGTATCCCTCTTCAAAAGCACTTTTCGAGGGGGTGATATTATTGTGGCAACAGAAATGGTATCCTTTTTTTCTGGGGTCAAATTTCCTTCTAATAATACAGGAATAGCCTCTTTACAATCTGGAATGGACCGCTTAACTGGCGATTCTCTGGTTTCCCTCGGCAAGATAACTCTTTTGGAGGGACTCGGACTTGGTGAAGAATCATTATCAGATTCCATTTTCTCACCTTCTCCCTCCTTGATGTCTTTTCTAGGTCTACCCTTCTTAATATTCTTTGCTTCAGCCTCTGCTTCTTCCATTGCCACAGTACCTACATTTGGCTTTATCCTAACATCTTTCCTGGCACGCATCTCTCCAAAGTCAAATGGCTCTGGCTCCTTAAATTCATATATGTCATCTTCTAAGGATTCTACCTTTGGTGATAAAAGCTTTGAGGGCTCTTGGGTAACTGGTTTTACTGGAGATTCTGTAATTTTCTTTGGAAGACTTTCAATGCACTGCTTTACAGGAGGCTCAGTGGTATTCTTTTCAGGTGTTGTGTACGAGGCAGGCATCACTGGAGATATTAATCTTGGGGTTGCCTCTTTCAAACTGCGGTCTTCCTCCTTCTTAATGGGCTTATCAAGTCCCTTCATTTCTGACATGATAGCATTTAAATCAATATCCTTCCCACATGGCTCCTGGTCCTCCTCCTCTTCCTTTACCTCTGCTACTTGTGTTTTTATATTAAGTTCCATAGGAGTCTTCTCCAAGACAGTATGAGTCACTGATGTGGGCTCTGAAGTAGGAGTGGAAGATGCAGATGAAGACGAGACAACAGTACTACGTCTATCTGAACTAGCCCGAGTGCGCGACTTTTCAGATCCAGTATCTGCATCAGATTCATAATCTTCACTGTCACTTTCTGTTGTGCCTGAAAAACACATAAATACAAACATTAAAGAAAAGATGCTAAAATATGCCCATGAATGCAAACATGTTAAAAACTGAGAGAAAGTGGATAAATGGCAAGCTTAAATTCATTGAAACTAAAAAAAAAAAAAAATTATTACACAAAATATTAAGAAAGTGAACTACTGTACTACTGTCATGTATATGATATCTTTTAATGTTTTCCATCATAAAAAATTACTCTTAAAAGGAAAAAATCATGGAACTTATATCCCTATAAAGTACAGTACTGTATAATCTCTCTCTCACTTTCCTCAAATCAACCCATCTTCTCACCTGCCATGGAATTTCTAGTACGTCTCTGGTCGAGGTATGATGGGCTGTCTGGCTGCAAAAGCACCCTTTCTCGTGCTGCTCTTGTGCTAGGGCCAGAAACACTACTTGTGCAACTGGTATCACTTTTTTCACTGCGCTCACTTTCACGTCTCTCACGCATTCCCCCTGGAGGCCTTCCTCGTTTTCCAATATTTGTTTTAGGAGAAGCAGTAGCCTGAGTCTGATAAAACAAAATCTATTTAAACTTTGTACCATTTCAGTAACGATGTCCACACTTAATTTCTAAGGCACATCAATGTAGATAAATTCCTGAATTACTGTACAGTACAGTGAGTTCTGCTATAACGCGTGTTTTGATAACGCGAATTTCCTCTAACGCGATTTATGAATTAGGAACGATATTTGCATAATGCGAACGCTTGTTTGCTATAACGCGATTTTTGCTTACTATTTCTCCAATTTTGTGGTATTAATTGTGAATATGGTAAAGAAGAATATCTCCAAGAAGCGTTCTGGTGATAGAATTCCCGGTGATGATCGTAAAAGAAAGGATATAACACTTGAAGAGAAGCTCGATGTTATCAACCTCAAAATCACCCTTCTCCCCCATCAAGTTACATTCATATTTTTTCAAGGTAAAGTGTTACATTTACTGTATGATTTCATTATTAGATATGAATGTAACATTTATTTAGACTGTGCTATCCTTTGTGTTAGGCTAACTACTAAATTTTTTCGATTTCGAGTAATCTGCACCTAACCCTATTTTCTCCATAAGCCCTGTTATTTCTATTACGCGATTTTCTATAACACGATATTTTACAAGAACACAATTATCGCGTTATAGCAGAACTACCTGTACCTTAGCCATACTTTCTGGAGCAAAAACTATCTATTTATAGAAATATATGTGTAAAATTTTTTTTTCAAAACCTGTTGACACACATCCACCCACACCCAAACACGTTATGTGCATACAATTCTCAAGGATAACCGTATTTACTAATATATGTACTAGCCATACATAAATACAAACCCCAACACATGCAACTGGGGGGATGTATAATGTATTTAAGGTAAACCAAATGGTTATATCATTGGACCTGGTTGTTGAATAGGTATTAAGTGAGATGCATTACTGGCCTGGAATTTTGGGGGTACTAGCCATCCAATTCTCATCTAATGATGCTCTTCATTGTGCTTTCATAGCAATATGTGAAAAATAAACTTTCTAATGATACAAAAGTTGGCAGTCTAAAAATAAAATCAAAGATGAGTGTACAAAAGCATGACGAGGGAGGTGGATGTACCAATAAATGCCAACTGGTGAAATTTACTAAAGCTTGAGACATTAAATAAAACACTCTTCATAAGAAATATAATACAGTACAAAGATTGTATATCTCACCTTTCTATGATAAACAGTCATATATAAAACAACTGGGTTACACATCAAAGAGAAAAATTACTCTGTGGTTAGATATTAATAAAAATACATTTTATGATAAAACTTTGATGCTTGCAACACCATAAATTAATCACATAACAGCTGGCCACCCTGTGGTGATGTATGTTTCCTGCCTCAAGCAATTAAGTTTTTTTTACAGTAATCAATTTTGCTTAGGTAAGCTAAAACCATTTGGGTTTTCTGCAATGTTTGGTTGGGTCCGGTGTAGAAAAACAAAAGTATACTGCATTGCAACAATGATATTCAAAACTGCAAACATGACTGATATCTGCCACATACATTTAAGATATATTCTACAGTTAACATAGTTTTGCTTAGGTTTTGATAATGTTTTGTTTAATCGACTGTCACAGCACTGTAGTTAGCCACTGAATAAGTTTCGGTAATGACATTCACACTTGGTGACACCATTGCTTCTTGCCACTTACATCTGTTATTGGTTTAGTTGTTTTCATATACTTTAACCCTCTTGAGCACACAATAAGTTTTGAAGTTTCTGTGACCACAATAAAAGTTGTAATGTAACCTGTCATCACCACTCATGTACAGTACAGTCTGGGCATCTTTGTTCTGTGGCTAATTTATCCAACATGATCCTTTTTTTTTCTTTTTTTACACATAACTGGCTTCATTTTTGTTTTGACTTTAACATATGACATAAAATAAACAAGTAAACTGAAAAAAAAAATAATAATTCCCTTCGAATAAAGATTTTTTTTTCCAAACATGATGTCTTGGATATTTTCTCACAAACCTACAAAGTTTTTCTTAATTGTACAAGTAGAATTTTATGAACTTTCCAACGGAGGTTTTTAAATTTGTATATGTCTAAAGGTTTTTGAGAAAAATGCAAAAAACTAAAATCACCAAAACCTATATATCTTTTTCATTTTTTTTCGTACTTATGAAATTTATTGTATTAAATTTTAGTGCAATGTTAGGAAGAGAAAGGTGGCATAAATATCTTGTAGCACTTATGGTTATCATATAATCTATTTTTGAAGTTAGTGAGCTGGCATTTTTCCAACAGTAATGCTCCTAGCCATTACTGTATGAATTACATATACTATATATTCAGTTATATACATAAATTTTAAAATAAATTTTTAAGTACCTTACATATAAACATACTGTACTGTATTTGATCTATATATGGTGGAGGCAGTGATAGTGACAAGCTGCTTGCCATTCTTGCTCTGTTTTCCTAATATAGTTTCCTTGCCAACATCACTTTCACTTTCTCTATTACTTTCAGTATAACCGCTTGATAATCCTTCGAGGTAGGAATCAGTTTCCTTGTCTCCCAGATATTTCCCATGATAATGAACCTTGTGAGGCATGTTCCATTATTCTTTGAATGAATTTGAAAATTTAAAATATTTTCTGTGAATATAACAAAAACATAATACAAAAACTTTAAATCACTTGAAAAACTTTTTCACTATAAAACATCACTGTATTCAAAATATGTACAGCAGGTGGAATGGAGAGGGTTTGAGAGGAGTTAAAGGGACAGGCATAACCTACCAACTTGTATGATGGGAGACAACAAATAAACAATTGACCCGCTCTTATCTCCACCCACACGGTGGTACTTTCTGGAAGCTTGACTTGTGAGATCATGCAGTTATCTTTGACGCACAAAAATTTGACCCGATTACCTTTGACCTTTTTGGCAAATTTTCAAAAGTTTAATGTCGCGGTTTGTGTCACTGATGCGGTTAGTGCTACCCAATAATATGACAATTTGCATTATAGTGAGCAAAAGGGTTAATATAATTCTAGATTAAATTTATTTTGTTTTTACACCAAAAAAGTGATGAACATAAACAAAAAAATTGGGACACATGGAGACAGTGGCAATCAGTGGGTGGACACCTGGTAGAAATAAAAATTCTAGGTTCATTTGGCTTCCACGCTGAATTGTATATAAGTGAGTTTTAAGACAGAGAGAATAAAAGAAGTCGCATGTAACTGACAGTGTATAAGAAAAAATATATAAATAAAATAAAAACTGTACTGCATAGTTGACTGATGATGTGAATTCAAACTGGCTCTTAGCCAATCGGCATACTGTACTGCTCACCCTTGACCATTGCCCTCACTGGTGCCTTGTCAGTTTACGTGCCATTATCTTGGCCATTAAAGGCACTTTTAAGCCTCAATTCTCTATTTAAGGTCTACGAGGATTCTGAAGTCCCGAATGAGACCTGGACCAGTTACAAAAGCAAAATAAAGTGACTGTTAATTGCAAACAATGTATTACAGCGTCATACATTTAAAATACACGAAAAAAAATATATATATTCTCACTGGTTCTTTGTCCTCCTTTTTTGAGTCTTTTTCTTTCTCCTTTTTTTCTTTAAGTTCTTTAGTAGCAGCAGCTCGGCCTTTTCTTGCTCTATTCTGAGACCAAGTGATGTTTTCTGCAATACGCGGTCTTCTAATCCATTCGTCATATCTTGTATTCCAGCCAAGATAATGAACATAGTACATTGGAGCATTACCTTCCTCCTCAACTTCTAACACCTGAAATTAAAACAAGATGAATATTGCAAAACAAACTATAAACGGAACCCAATACAACCTGACATATTTGTACAAGAAATTATTAAAGTACTATAGCATTCATATCTCCATGGCCTCATAAACTGGGGACCAAACTACCATGATTGCTTCCCTCAAACTACAACTTCATGTGCACATGTCCAGTATATTAATCAAGAAAAGAGGTGGAGCTGTTTATCAAACATAAGATAAAAGGGAAAGAAATGGAATACCAACAGTGAAATTTTATTTTCTACTTACCCACCACACCCAGGTACCTCTCATTGACTACACTGTTGTACAAATCTTTTTTTTTGTGTCTACACTGCCTGTCTGCAGGTGTACACATACCTATCTAGGCATAGCATACCTCTACAGAAAGCACTGGGCTCCTTGTCCTCCTATACTTTCACCACCAACCTTATTAAGTGCATTTTCTCTCTTATTATCAAATTCATATTATTCATTTTACAATTTTCGTGTTCTGTCTATAGTAATGAGTGATGCAAAAAAATGATGAAAAGATGTTATTTCTATCTGCTATTGTTACAGGGAGTAAAGCTACTGTTACACGCCGTTGGCCATGGTGGACAGGGCAATGATTACCACTACATCAATAAATGTTCCTCGTAATAATTTACCAAGACTATCTAACATGAATTATTCATACAGCAATATCCCAATTTCATTGTGAATTGTTTGAGTGGAATATTACCTACACAGGTTTTCCCTCTTTTTAAGATGATATGTTCCTGATTATTGGGGAGAGCATTGTTAAATTACAGATAAAAAACAAAAGCAAATTAGCCATAGACACAATATACTGTACAATACGTACTGTATATAAAAAATATACTCCAATGATAAAAATTTTGACCCTAAGGCACAATAGGACAATAAGACTACACTTGGAGGTTTGGTATAAACTGCCCAAGAATGTTTAGAGTGGAGGACTGTGGTTGCCAACCCTCAGATATGAGGATGGTACTTTGATTGACTGAAAAGAGGAATTAAGCATTCCCACTAAATATTATAAATACCTGTACTGTATTTTCATTTTATGCAACTAAAAATTATAGTTAACACGGACAACACAACCCCAACAATATTAAAAACATCCTACTTCTATTTCACATACAGTGGTCCCTCGGTTAACGAACGCCTCGGTTAACGAATTACCTTCCATAAGAATATTCAATTCGGTTAACGAAAAAAATTCGGTTTACGAATTCCTTACGAATTCCTCTCATGTTTTCGCTTGCTCACCAGCTGGAATATTAGTCCGCCAATACAGTAATCGGTTCTAGGGCTTAAATTCGTTCCCATTTGAGTAAATATCAAGAAGGTTGTACTATTCAATAATTTTCCAAGTTTTATATTAAAATTTTTAGCCATTTTAACAATTATTTAACATAATTGAAGTACAGGGAACTAGTTTTTAGTGCGCCAAACAGCCACTCAACTCACCAAACAGGCGTCAGTTTGTATCACTGGTCAGTATTAGAGAGGTAACATCTTGCTTGAGACTCTCTTCAACATAAACTATTTTTAAGTCTTTACAGTACAATTATTGGTCATCCTGAAATTTATTTTACATATTGAAAATATATAGTGCAGTGCAGTGTTGATTTAAAGAAAATAAAATAATCTTGAATTACACAAAGAGAACTTAAAATTTTATGGGTGAAATGACAGCATGAAGCATGGGGTGATTTCTCTTCCACCCCCACTTCTAATTCCCATCATCATCATCATCATCATCATCATCATCATCATCATCATCATCAACCAGGAGCCTTCAACATACACACCTCAAAGTAAGTGTACTTTACTGCCTTTTTTTTTTTTTTACTTTGTATGTAATTTTCGGTGAGCTGGAACCAATTACCCAAAATCCCACCGAAACAATGGTTTCGGTTAACAAAATTTTCGGTTAACGAACGACCTTCTGGAACAAATTGTGTTCGTTAACCGAGGGACCACTGTATTATGATTTTTTTATAAAAGTACATTATCAGTAATAACGCATTAAACATTTTGATTTGTGATGAAAACAGGAAATTTCAAAGCAAACATGATGGCATACCAGAGCCCAAATCTAGAACAAATAATTTTTTTTTTCATATCAGCAACTAAAGAAAAATCCTTTACCTTTGCTTCATATGTAACCTTGGATACTTTAGCACTTGGACCGTAGAGCACCCGAAGTTTATCCCCAACACTCACAGGAACATGAGCAGGAATAAGTGCCTTCCCCCTAAAGGTTAAGAATAAAAATTATTAGATTAATAAAGAAGCCTGGGAGATGATGGGCTGTGTGAAGTAACAGAGGTGAACAGAATAGATATTTGGGATCATGTTACGCAGGGATAATACCACACCGGATGACATCTATTAAAGCATTAAGAAAGAATGAATGTCCATAATTGAAGAGAGTACTGGTATGTATGTACAGTGGGGTATGCTATAACGAACGGATCCTACTACGAATATTCCTATAACGAACGGTTTTACCTATAAAATTGAGAATGCTATAACGAACGCAACTCCTACAACGAACGCGGATGAATACGGGACTATTTCGTCTGGCACATGAATATTGTTGTACCGCGGCTCACAACAAGAGCGTCAGGCGCCATCTTTGTCTCATTGTGTAGCCAGTGCACCACTGTTATTGTTGAAATTTCGTCTTTTGATGTGGAAATTCGTGTTATTTGTATAACTATTTTGTTATACAAGTGTACAATTGTAACAATGAATCGTCCAAAGCGAGTGAGAAAGCTAATAACCCTTGAGACTAAGAAAGAAATCATAAAGAAACGTGAGAATGGAACAAGCATTGCGAAACTTAGTGATGAATATGGGATGGCTAGATCGACTATATGTACGATTTTGAAGAATAAAGAGGAGTTAAAAACTGTGCAAGTGGCTAAGGGAATCTCTAGACTTAGCAAAGCAAGGTGTAATGTGATTGAAGAGATGGAAAATTTACTCTTAGTGTGGATAAAGGAGAAAGAAATGACAGGTGATAGCATTAGTGAAGCTATAATTTGTGAGAAGGCCAAACAATTGTTTGAGGACCTTAAACCACGACTCCCAGTGGAAGTGATAGTACTGTGCCAGTGTTTAGGGGTACCTGCATGCTGAACAACACTAAGGTAAGATAAAGTACCGTATTTTTTACATTTTCCACAGAAAATTTTCAGTGTTAAGTGGTTGTATTTGGGGGCCTGGGACGGATTAATCCTATAATGAACGAATGCTATAACAAACGAGGTTCTAGAACCAATTAGATTCGTTATAGCATACCCCACTGTATTTTCTTTTTATTCTGGCCCCCTGCATTACAACAGGAAAAGGCTTGACCACAAAAAATGAAAAATATAGAACACAATAATCATTAATTAACAGTTACTAAAAATTATCTCCAAATGCCAAGTCTAACAACTGTATGTTTAATCGAAAAGTTGGGTTCCCAAATTGTGCCCTACAAAGACGCGTATGTTCAGTTGAAATGTGGGTTACCACAAATTTGGGGATGCCCACTTTACATACCTGTTTTTACCCAAAGTATTAGAACAAATTGAAGGGTCCAGCAACCCAAAATTGTTCCTACATGCATAAAATATGATTTGTACTTAACATAAGGCTTGATATAAATATAGAAACTCATAATATGGATATTTTCAATAATGTTTTACAGAAAACAAATTTGTCTTGTATGTAACCAGAATTTTTGTTCAGAAACATTAACAACAATGTTGTCGCAACTCCAATTCTCTCCACTCATATATCACCGTCTGTCACAACAGGTATGTATCCTCTAAGTCATAAAATGATTAAGATAAAGCAAAAAACAAAGCAATAGAAAGCAATCATTATTTTTTTCAAGAGTACCTTGATTATACATGACATTAAAAGTGACACTGTAGGTTGAATCATCACAAGTTGTGTTATCTCAGATCTAAAAATCTATGAAATGGAACATTATACAGTATTGGTTAAATTAGTTACAGCTGTTTTAAGTGAGCATGATGATACTGAAACTAATGACATCTACAGGTATATATGATTGTAATGCAGATGATAATCAATTTTTTCACTAACTTTGCCCTCTCATCGTGTGGACCTTAATTATGGTTGGTAATATTTTCTTGAATACAGTATGTCTCCTTACAGGATAATAATAGTTATAATAATAATAATAATAATAATAATAATAATAATAATAATAATAATAATAATAATAATAATAATAATAATAATAATAATAATAATAATAAAATTAATAATAAAAATAATATAAAAATAATAATAATAATAAAAATAATAATAATAATAATAATAATAGCTGGTCTTTTGTTTCTTAAAAGCACCAGTTTTTCTAGATTCACTAGTGCTCGAAACACGACACAAAACACTGACAGTTCGACTTCTATCATTCATATACCCTTAGCTTTTAAAAAAAGAAAGATCTTAGTGGTTCCTTAAAGGCCTCCACAAAAGCCAGCTGTTTCATGGATGCAACCAACCAATTGCACAATATGGGTGCTGTATAGGAAAAGGATCAGGCGGCAAATGAACATTCCCGTACTGCTCAAGGCGTGAAGGATCACTACTACTATGCAAAATCATTTCAGAATGTGTAGTCAGTGGAATTAGTAGGTTGGCCAAATGCTTAGGCACACCAACCATTGGTATCTTCAAATTCATTAGACAGAGTATGAACTCTGTCCTAACTTTAATTGGAAGCCAATGTAATTCGATCAAGAATGAGGTACTGAGAGTTCTTAGTGGGAAAGCAAAAAAACAACTGCAGAGAAGAATTATCACTGCAAAAGAGACTCTTCTGTAGTTATGCTTCCATGGGTAAGGCTTGTGCTTAACAGTATATTACTATTCAGTACAAGATTGGAAATTATAAGCATTCCTTTCCCTAACTGTAACTAATAATTAAACTTAAGTAAAATTCATACTCACACAGGAGGTTCCACTTCCCCTTCCACCTTCTTCTTACGCCCTCGTTTTTTAGCACCTGGGGAATCTTCTGCTGGTAATGCAACTGGTGTCTGCCCAGGACCTGTTTTTGTCACTTTATTTTTTTTTGCCTTCTTATCAGCAGCATTTATAGGATTCGTGGTACCAGAGTTAGGTGCAGGAGTAGAGGTAGTCACATTAGAGACAGTAGAATCATCATCGTCATCATCATCATCATCATTCTCTGGAGTAGGAGTTGGAGTTGGAGTAGGAGTTGGAGTTGGAGTAGGGGTTGGAGTTGGAGTAGGGACATTAACTGTAGCAGAAGCACCAGTAGTAACAGCAACAGCAGTAGCAGCTGTAACAGCAACAGCAGCAGTAGCAGCAGAAACAGTAGCAGCAACAGGAGCAGGAGCAGCAGCAGCAGCAGTAGTAATAGTAGTAGTAGTAGTAGTAGTAGGAGGAGGAGGAGGAGGAGGAGGAGGAGGAGTAGTAGTAGTAGTAATAGTAGAAGAAGAAGAAGTAGTAGTATTAGTAGTAGTAATAGTAGTAGTAGTAGTCGTCGTAGTAGTAGTAGTAGTAGTAGCAGCAGCAGCAGCAGCAGAAGCAGCAGCAGCAGCAGCAGCAGCAGCAGCAGCAGCAGCAGCAGCAGCAGCATTAGTAGTGCGTTCCCCTTTGGCTTTTCTTGTTGGTGTTCCAGTCTTTTTCATAGTTTCCTCCTTCTCACGGCTCTCTTCACGATGCTTAGATGATGACCGAGTCTGAGCCTAAGACAAGGTACCAAAAAGTATAAGTGAGGTATCAAATACACATGACAATGTTATTATTGACACCCTCCCCAAAGCAAATACTCGTCACCTTAAAAATATGAATTGGTACTGAAATCCGATTTCATGACAAAAGCCTGAATAAAGGATAACTCCACTAAGTCTATGACAATAGTGACTGGAGCTAATTAGTTATGTATTCATGTCTTCCCAGTGAATCTAGAACCCTTAAATAGGGACCATGAAAATGGCAATCATCACTGAAGGCCAAAGGCAATGAAACCCTACATCAAATTACACTATGGATTACCTATTTACTGCCATAAGCTGTGATTTCATTAGAGAAAGTTAACTGTCACTTATTATAGACTTGGTCACAGTAGGATTTCAAGATCAATCCTCAATTTATGACCGTAGATGAGCAGTAGGGAGATATCTTGCTCTGGATGATACCTATTTTCAGTCTAATAACTAAATATGACAGGACCATAAAAAAAATATTCTAAGGTAACTACAAATTGTGCCGACCAAAGAAAACTGCATGAAGGTACACTCGCACCAAAAAATATCGGTGCAGGGTGAGATCAACGAGTTCCGAAACGGTACGTATACACTGTGATATGTCGGGAAGGTTGGTAAGTGTATCCTCATAACCCCCTCCACTAGGTGTTGCCATATGGCTGACAATCAGGACTGCCAACATACGGCTGGAACAACTCGCCTTTCCCAATACCTATCATCACTGGTCTCATATTGTTCACACTACAGTATGCACCGATACTTTTTGTTGCGAGTGTACAATAGAACAACTTGACATGGTTGGTTTCAGAACTAGAAGTTTGATTGTTGATACTGTACTACAAAGGAAAGATCAGGTGAGGTTGTTGAAACTTTGAGCCATAGAAAGGTGGAAGTCTATTGTGTATAAGAATCAAAGATTGAAAGGAGAAGCAGCAAGACTGACTACCAGTAGGCATGAGAGATACATATTTTTCTGGATGGGTAGTGATTCTGGGTCATGTAGGGATATGAATGCTAAAAATTGGATGGAGAAAAGGTGGTATGAAAAAGGTGAGAGGTCTGTGGATATTATATGGAACAAGCAATGAACATGTTTTCTAAATTGGATCCATTAACAGAACGAAGCATTAGGGGGCCGTTGGTAGAAGCGGTATCGCTCTTGCCTCGCAAGCAAGATGTCACGGGTTCGATTCCCAGGCCGGTGGAAGGTGTTTGGACATATTTCCTAGCCCCCATTAGTCCCTGTTCACCTAGCAGTAAAGTAGGTATAAAAAAAAAAAAAGCACGTGAAAAATGCATATGACCTCTACATAAAGATGTACAGTATGAGCAAAGAAAGCAGCTGTGCAAGGTTCTTTCAACAACTTTATTATTCGAAAGCCTAAACCTTCAACCTCAGCTACACCATCAAATTCAGCATCATAAGCAGCTTCAGCAACAACTTCAGGTTCAGTAAATTTCAGCAACAGCTTTATGGAAAGCTACAGCTTCAACCAGAGTTGAACCTGGTGACATCGTCATCTCAGTAAAAACTCGCACAACATCATTGGCTGTCTTTATGTTTTAAACTTTACTACTATTGGTAAGTAGAATTTTTGTTTTACATTCGTAAGTATATAATGAATCTTTTGTACACACAGTATTCTTAACAAGATAAATGACGCTTTGTTTTCTTGAATGTGCACGTATACGTTGGCGTTCACAATCCATCTCGCTTTCTTTTCTTTGCCATTAGTGGTTAGCTACTTTTATTGTTCCATTTATTAACATTACTTAAAACATATACCCGGTATATTTATTTTTTTACATTAATTTTACTACTGTACAGCTACAACCACCCAGGGTCTTATTTTCTTCAGTTACTCATGTAGAATCATCGTCACAGGTGTAAACACTAACGAAAACAATGGCGTCCCATCTCCCCCGTGACCATAATATCATTGATTTATATTGTATAAGGTGCACTCATAAATATTATTTAAAGAATATAGTTTACATTTTTCATTAATTTTTTGGAGGGAAAAGAAGATTAAAAGCCACACATAAGATATGAAAAGGTCAGACTTTGGAAAGCATCTCATTGCTTTATTTTTAATGGTAATTATTGATTCACAATACGATGATTCGCCTTACACTACAATATTGGAGGACACATTACCGTCGGTATTCGAGGCTTTACTGTACTTGAAAAAATTACAAAGGTCATTTACTGAATAAGGAGCTCAAAAGGGATAGGGGCAGCCTAGATATAGGTGAGCCATTACTGGAACCATGCACAAGACTGAAAGGGAATGGGTGAAGGAAGTAATTGATAAAATGAAGATTGGAATGTTTGCTGGTAGCTCTGGAATAGTTGCATGTTGAAAGTTTCAGAGGATGTTGGGGTAACAATGGTAACTGAGATAATATTGTTCCAGCTGAATGACTGAAGAGTGAGATTATATTTAGGGAGAAGGCAATGCACTTGACCATGGAAAGTACAGGGACCTGAAACTGTTATAATGAAGATGAAAATTATAGAAAATTGATAAAAGAGTGAGTGGACATTCAATAAAGTACAGTTCGGGCTCATGCTAGACAGTCAGGCATCTGTGTGGGGTCAAATGATGAGCTAGGTGAGGATACCAATAACAAAAATAATTTCCGCTTCAACTCAATCTAATAAAATAATTGCTACTCTGTTTTCCCCTACTCTTAAACCATACTACATTAAGATAAACAATAGAATAGCTCATAAAACACACATTAATGCCAAGCACAAATTTTTTCCTTACCATCTCTACCTCTTCTTCTTCTTCTTCATCATCTCCCTGCTCCAATTCTTCCTTCTTAACTTTTTTATCCTCTTTCTTTTCATCCCTTGTACTGGAACGAGTTTTTACTTCTAAAATATCTGTTCTTTCTTCTTTTGTACTAGATCGAGTCTTCACTTCAATAGCTTCACTTTTGGCAGCAGCAGCTCTAGTTTTTGCCTCTGATCTAGGCGTTCTGGGTTCTCGTAATCTTTCTTTCGGTGTAACACTCTCTCCTAAAACATCTTTTGCATTAATGGATTCCTTATTTCGATCTTTATTGACAGATGGTTCTCGAGATCTCTCTCTTGTTGTTGCTGGTTCATGAGAACGGTCCTTTACTGAGCCAGGTTCCCGAGAACGTTCCCTCACTGAGCCAGGTTCCCGAGAACGTTCCCTCACTGAGCCAGGTTCCCGAGAACGTTCCCTCACTGAGCCAGGTTCCCGAGAACGTTCCCTCACTGAGCCAGGTTCTCGAGAACGTTCCCTCACTGAGCCAGGTTCTCGAGAACGTTCCCTCACTGAGCCAGGTTCTCGAGAACGTTCCCTCACTGAGCCAGGTTCTCGAGAACGCTCCCTCACTGAGCCAGGTTCTCGAGAACGTTCCCTTGTCATGGCTGGCTCCTTGGATCTCTCTCTTGTTAACAATGGTTCTTTGGACCTTTCTCTTGTTACTGCTGGTTCTTGCTCAATATGCTTCTGTGGCTCTTTATTACCATTCCTAAAATTTGGGAATAGAATTGAAATTTTTTATTCATATTAGTCAATTGTATTTTTCAATTTTATACCAATTTGAATAAATGAAGATCATTTACATACACTTTCCCACTCAAACTTTAAAAGACAGCATGCTTTTCATGTTGAATATTTGTTCTAACTGAGAGATATGAAGGTTTTTAAAAAACTGGGTAAAATTAAAAAAATTTCATATGAAAAGGACAAGATTTCTTCACTAATACAGTGGTGCAATTATATTTTCTCCATGTCTAAAGAGGTCCACAAAAAATGGGAGGGAAGACAATGTGTAAAGTATGTAACCAGGTGGGAGGTCAGGATAAGTTAGGTTAGCCAGTTGCGAGCATGACAAAAATCATAAAATCGATACATTGGTACAACTGCACCGGTAAGAATTACCATATAAATTTACTGTAAATTATAGATAAGGATAGGTTAGGTTAGCCAGTTGAGCATGTGATGAAATCAACAAATTAGTACAACTGAATCTGTAATAATTACCATATAGTGTATATTATAGGTTAGGTTATGATAGGTTGGGTTAGGCACCAGTTGATGTACTTGTTGCTCAGCCATATATGTTTACATAAATTTATTCTCAGAGCTCTCTAAGCCCTTAAAAGTCCTTGGTAGGACTCCTAAAATGCATCCACTCTGAGAGTATTTAAAGGGCCTAAGGCATTATGATTTACTCTAAGCAAATCCTAACATTAGGAGTAAATTTTCAACTGAGAGTAACTTTTAGCTCTTAAAAGATTTTATAAATACCAACCCAGAACTCAAAACTTATGCAAAGGTAAAAATACTTACTTTCCACCTTTTCCTTCTTCTTTTTTCCTTTCATTGTCCTTTTTATCTGCTTCTTTTTTATCGGGTTCTTTTTTTTCTGCTTCCTTCTTCTCTTCACTTTTTTTTGTGTCTTCCTTATCACTTTTTTTCTTCTCGACTTTTTTAACATCCTCCTCCTCTTCTTTTTTTTCAGTTTCATCTTCTGTTGAGTCACAACTATCATTTTCTTTCTTCTTGGATGTGCGAGGTGTCCTATCACAGTCACGGATCAAGCTTCGGCCAGAACGATGTCTTGTGCGAGACCCTCGTGGATTACTAACCATGGTGCAGCCAAGTTTTCTATAGAATTCCTCAAAACTTTGCAGATATCTGCAAATTAAGGGAAAATTTTTTGAAATTATGTTCAACAGTATATGAACACAAATCACGTTTGGCACATAAACACACTTTTACAGTCTAAATTCTTCTCATCATTTTTTCTGACTAGTGGAGTCACCACTAGGCTTGTCTGTAATTATAAACCCATTTCCAAATAAAATTCTTCTCTGTGTGCAATTACAATCTCATTCTTATTCCCAAGCCATACTTTATTAATAGATTGTACAATACTCCTAGAGCTTAATAACTCCCTTTGTGACTCAATGTAGCTTGAACTGGTTAACTCTTTCCTTCATACCTTTTGCTGTATCAATGCAAATAAATTTCAACAAATTATCCTAAACCACATAGGCTTCACATATCACAAATCATCTTTTAAACAATTTCATTTATATAATCTCTTCAAGGATTTCTTCAAGCCACATATTTTCACAGCTTCACCAACAGGGTCATGTAAGTACCTGTAGTATACAGTGGTCCCTCGATTAACGAAATTTGGGTTAACGAATTACCTTCCATGAGAATCTTCAATTTGGTTAACGAACAAAAATTTTATTAACGAAATCCTTACGAACATCACGTTTTGTTGTGAGCATCAGCTGATGGGCTAGTCTGCCAATTCAGTAATCTGTTCTATGTTTACATTCGTTTCCAGTGGAGTAAATATCAAGAAAATTGTGCTCTTTAAAATTTGTGCATTTTTTCTATTATAATTATTGGTCATTCTAAAATTTAGCCATCCAAGCTCTGTCTACATAAAGTTTTTCAACTATTATTTTTGGCTCGATATACCGTATATACTCGTGTATAGTTCGAGTTTTTAAGACCCAAATTTTAGGCAAAAAATTGGGGGTCGTCCTATACATGCGTAATAGTTTTGTTAGGTTGAACCCATGCATGATAGGAAGGGCGAGGAGCAACTTTTAGCTTCAGACATGAAAAATATTTACCATTTACTGCCAGTAAACAATGGAAACGTAAAATATGTACCAATTAGTAATGAAAAGTTGTGCAGTTCCTTCAGTAAATGAAGCTCACCAACTTACAATAGGCTAAATTACCTTACAACGTGCTTTCAGTAGTCTATGTTGAAGTTCTTAGCACAGGCTAACTTATCATATCATATACGGTATCACAGTTCACATTGATCTACAAAAAATACCGGTATTAAAAACCTTTTCGATATTTCACACTTAATATAATACCCGGCAATCTACTTCAACCTCCTATTGTTTACAACGACGCATGACGCATCACGCACCACCAGCTGTATCAGCTAGACGGTACACGTGTTTTTCGAATCATTTTCAGTTAAAAAACTGTTACATCACACGTATATTTTACCTAAACTGCGCCTGAATGAATATATTCTCGGAAATAAATAGTGGTTTTGCTGAAAAGTGATGTATTTTAATGTAAAATAAGATAAAATACATGACGAAAACAAAAGATTTTACCTAACCTTCCCATGTTCAAGAGAAGTTACTCGTTTTTTTAATAGTTTTTGGTTAAAATATTGTTATATTACAATGGTATTCTATTCATACTGTGCTTGATATAATGCATTCACGGAATGTAATATTTTTGCTGAAATGACGTACGTATTACAGTGGAAAGTGGGATAAAATCGTGACGAAAGCAATGACTTTCGCTTTCTTTCGTTCAAAAGATGTTACCGTAATTGCTTTTCGAATGGTTTTCAGCTAAAAAACTGTTGTATTACGATAATATTCTCTCCTAATTGACTTGGAATAAATACTTGAATGGAAATATACAATATTTTTGTTGAAACTACCCGCGTTTCAGTGTAAAGTGTCGTACGTAATAATAAATGGTAAACAATTTGCCTTCGGCACTCGTGTTTCATGCACGGCGAGCCTCAGTTTATAGGACGTAGAGCATTTTTAGTGAAGGTTTTGTTGTTCCATTACCCTCAAAAACATGGGTCGACCTATAAACGAGGAATATCGTAAATTAACGAATTCTTGGTCAAAAAATCAGGGTCGACCTATAAACGAGGGGGGGGTTATAGACGAGTATATACGGTATGTAACTTTATTCATTTATTGAAACTCATTTAAATATTAAAATCAAAGTTAGGGGTCAGCCAATCAACAGTAAAATTTTTACCTCTTAAATATTGTGCTGCAGTGTCAGATATGAAATATCATGTCACACCAAGTATCCATTTCACTGGCCTGATTTGGTACTGAAACTTACGTCATGTTAGATTCTACCCAGATTTACCCAGGTTAAAAAGAATAAAATGTATTGGCAAAACCTGGTTCGAAGAGCATCAAGAAGAGTCATATAATTCTGTAATAAACACAGCTATCATCACATACCCTCCGCAAGCGCCCCATTTCCAGCACACAGTGAGGAGACAAGAAAAGGAAAAGGACTTAGATTGGGCAGTAATGCATATCGGTATATTTATTTATATATACATGGTCTCTATAAATAGTCACAATAAAATTATTTTTTACAAAGGAATATTCAGTAAAATGACTAAAGTAATTCTTTTGAAACTACCGGATAGTTAAAATACAGACGCTATGACGCTGCGCAACAGCAGATCTTAACGTAATTCACATTAATGCCATAATACAAAATATAAGAAGATTTACATTCCATTAAGGTAACGAATATGATGAAATACCACAACCTCAAGATGGTCCCAATCATACCTGTTGATACAAAGGTAAAAACAGCAAGCGGTGGGGAGCACATTTAAAAGACACGGTTTATAGTAGTACTTAAGCGAAGAGCGAACCAAGTTGAACCATTAATTTTAAGAGGGGAAAACATGCCCAAAATCAAGTCTGCCGAGTTTTTGTCGCTAACGGAAGGGTGATAATAACAAGCATGTGTTATGATTGATCGGTATATGTAGGCACTGGGGAAGCTGGAAACAGCGAGCCTCTAGTATGGAGCAACAGAGGAACAAAACCAGCATGGCGGAAGAGAGGACATTGCAGTTATTCGGTGGATTAACTTCAGTTGCACAACCACTCTGATATTGCCTGGCTAAACTCGGCGACCGTTCGAACAAATGGAAGCGGATGATCAGCGTAAAAAGTCTTACACTTAAAGGTGGAATATGCGCAGCCCAGAACTTTCGATGTACGTGGACGCGGTTATCAAGGTATGGTTGATATTATTGTGTTGTTATCAAGCCCGCATGCAGAATATCGACCACCGGATGGTAAGGAGGATGATATATGGAGGACGAGGACGAAACAGCAGGCCGGGCTTACGCCACCGATTTGAAAGTTTGATCCTGGTGATGATGCAACCATAATGTATCTCGTGATGTAATTTCGAAGAACCGCATCAATATTACGGATGATTTAAGGCTTACCATGATGACGCCGTGCATAATTCACACACAATATTTTAAATTTGTCGGGGTGGTTTCGGCTTAAAAATACGGAATTACTGCAACAAATGTGCATGTATATGTATACATACAGAGAAGTAAAAGGAATGAAAAATAAATATGAAAAGTACGTAATATTTTTTCACTAAACTTAATGAAATACGAGAAATATTCTTTGTCGTGCAAAATGTTTAAAAAATTAAAGAATAATAATTATAGTGTTTATATATTACAGTATATTGCAAAATAAATAAATAAATAATATTCGTAAATCTATTTCAAGTAAAATGGAAAAATATAAATGTTATTTACTGTAACATCTTCCCTCTGTAGGCTCAGGCAGTAAAGATGGGAGGGTAGATAAGAGGTAGCTCAATTTTAGTCTGAAGTGCACTCAAATGCACCAGTAAGAACTTATTTTAGAATATTTTTTTTGTATATATATATATATATATATATATATATATATATATATATATATATATATATATATATATATATATGTAGGTCCACACTATTTTATAATCACAGTCATGTACTACACGTAGTTAGGGACCCAAATCCAGTCAAGTCCGATATAGATAACACTTTTTGTTTTTTTTTTTATTTTTTTGAATAAATAATTCACAATGAAACATAAAATAGTGTGTTAAATAATAATGAGTAAATGGATACAGTACAGGAAAGGAAGAAATATATATTAAGTGATTTGAGCACTTACCTAATAAATAGTTGAATGCACATGGGGCCCTGTAATTTTAATTTATAAGTGAGACTGGTATTAATCGGTAGAACGTTTCTATGAAATATTTGGAAAAAAGCAAAATTTTAACAAAAATCTGAGAGGCGGTCAAGTCCCACGGTCATAAGTTAAAGTCAATCTGTGTTATATATATATATATACATGCTGTACAGAATTCTACTTACCTATGAATTTATTTAATCACTGATTTTTTTTTTTTTTTTCTTCAAATGACACGCGCATTTCTATACGAAACGTTTCCAGTTAATGTAGTCTCCATGTAAAATTAGAAAATTATGGGGCCCCATGTGCATTCAGCTGACTACATTAAAGGTAAGTGCTCAGTCACACTGTAACCATTCCTTATTATTTATTACTTTCACTGTACTGTATCCATTCCTCATTATTCATTACTTTTACTGTACTGTATTTCATTGTAGATTATTTATTTAAAAACAAAAAAACAAAAAAATTTTATCTATGTGGGACTTACGACCTGGATTTGGGTCCCTAACCCGTCGTGAAGTCGGGGTCTAGCTTATATAAATATATATACACATATATATGCAAATCACTGTAGATGTGGCGTGATCTAGGTATATGCTGATAATACAAGGGAAAGAAACACGAAGTTCCCAAGCTTCGTGTAATTCACATCTTCAGGGGTGAATGTATGTAAATGAGAAATGCGTAATCTTTTCCTCAAATCCTAATGAAACACCACAATTAGAATATGGTGTAGCTGTTGTATAAACAGTCGAACACAGTCCACCACCAAAAGGCAGAGAACACTCCCACCACCGATCGTCTCGTGCGAAGCAAGCGTATAAATTAAAAATACTTGCAGTATGTTTAATATATTTACAGTAT